CTAAGGCAAGCTGGACGAGGCGGAGGCGATATATCGGCGGGCGCTAGCCGGTAAGGAGAAGGCCCTCGGACCCGGCCACACGGACACTCTCGGCACCGTCAATAACCTAGGAAACCTCTACAAGGCCTAAGGCAAGCTGGACGAGGCGGAGGCGATATACCGGCGGGCGCTGGCCGGGTACGAGAAGGCCCTCGGGCCCGACTATATAGACACTCTTATAACCGTTAATAACCTAGGACTTCTTTACGCGGGCTAAGGCAAGCTGGACGAGGCGGAGGCGATATACCGGCGGGCGCTGGCCGGGTACGAGAAGGCCCTCGGACCCGACCACACGTCCACTCTTAGCACCGTCAACAACCTGGGAAACCTCTATAAGGCCCGAGGCAAGCTGGATAATACAGAGGCGATATATCTACGGGCGCTGGCCGGGACCGAGAAGGCCCTCGGACCTGACCATCCAAGCACTCGACTTGTTATACGCAACTTAGAGAAGCTGCACCATAGGTGGTAGACAGGCCAAGGAATGAAGGCTTTGGAAGCGGGCTATGATGCTTTTAAGCTGTTCACGAAGTGAGGGTTTCGGAACATTAGAGGCGTTGAGTTAGCAGGATGACAGTAGCTGTCAAAAAGCAGCTCAGGGTGGCCAATGGCTGTAATGATACGCGTTTGCTTTTAGCAGTGCTACAGTACAGCAGTAGTATTAACTCGGACGTACCTAGTGACTCAATTATAGTCTTACGTTGAACCGTCTAAACGAGACGTCCGCTTTATGTCAACGGTTGGGACAAGCCGATTGCCGGTTCCTCAAAACTGCACATACCGTTTCGCCACGAACCGTTTTCTTTGGCCGTTGTGCATAACGTGCATAAATACCCAATCAGTAATTTCAACTGGGGTGTGGCTGAGCTTGGACTGAGCCGTGCCTGAGCAAGAGTGACAAGAACGCTAGTCTCAATCAGGTCGGCGCAACAGTCGCGGTAAAACCTGGAACCTGTGATTGTTCTCCAGATAGCAGAGTACATATCATGACATTTGCTTCAAAAGTGGCCTACTCACTCTCTGTACAACGTAGTTGCTTTTATTTTTATTTTTATTTTAGTTTTATCTTTATCTTTGTTTGCGGATCGCTGGTCTCGACCGTGGTGACAGACATCGCACCCGGTTTAGTTACCTACCTTGCCCAATGGAAATCCCCATGAGCCGCAGCGCCACTAACGCTGTCTCAGTAACCCTCCCTCTGCACCTGCAGTGGTCTGACAGGCGTGCTAGGCCCACGTGCCGAAAGCCGAGGCCCTGGGGTTTAGAGAGAGGGGAGACGACAGCTGGAATATATTTAGCCCTGATAGCTCCATGTGCTTTCTCCCCCGCGTTCTCGTCTCATTATTGCTTCTTGTTCTACGAAGCACGGAGAAATATTCGCCTCGACGTCAAGGTACACCGTACGCACGGCCGCAGCACTAAATACCTACCTAATAACATCGACGATGGTTGAGCACTCTGGCACTTCAGATTTGCTACTGGCCGATCTGCTAGAGTCGGGGTGAGAGCGGTGAGAGCAAGGGTGAGGGGAGCAATTGATCGGGCTGCGTCTGCTGCGTCTGCTGCGTCTGCTGCGTCTGCGTGACGGAGGTCAAAATGCGAAGAACTGTCCAAAGTCGCCCTCAGTTGTGCAATGATGTTATGACTTCGCTTCGGCTGACGAGGACACGAAAATGAAGAGGGAAAAGAGAAGGGAATGACTAGTCGATTAGTTCTGGCGAAACCCCTTGGTTGCATGTGCTCTTTGGCTGGAGTCATCGAGAGATTCGAGACCTCCTGTAGCCGATCAGTCAGTCGTCCTGTACTTTGTAGATTGAGAAACCCGAGTAAATCCGAAAGCTGAGCCGGATGGAATCAAGGTGAAGCAAGCCCAGCACCCGGACCGGAACCGGAACTATATGGTTCCGTTCCACCCAATGATGTTTCTGATCTTGATCTGATTTCGTCACCGGATGTGCCGAATCGGTACAAGGGAGCCAAAAAAAAGAAAAAGAAAGAAAAACTCGTGATCGTTCAGCCCCGACTCTCACAGCGGCAATTTGAATATACTGCCCTGCCCGGAACACACCAGAAGTGTTTTATACAAGATCGATATCGGGTCGTCGCACCATCTAGCAAAAAGAAATCGAACGCCACCTCATCCGCATCAGCCCGACGTCTTCAGTTAGTCGACTCCTCTTCCCATACAAAGAATGTGACTGACCGGCAAACAAGCCTCAACCGCCAACCGCCAACAACCAGCTTCAACGCCCGCCCGCCAAAACTACAGGTATCGACACGAAGGGCTATCGAACATCGAACACTCACTCCACCGCCTTATCGGACCACCTCTCACCTCTCACCTCCCACCTCTCACCTCTCACCTCCCACGTCTCACCGCGTCCCGTCGTACCCGGTTGACCCTGTTGGTCAACTCACCACTCACCCACCTCACCCACTCAACCCTGTGGCCCGCCACACGCCTCCTGCATCAGAATCCATCACTTCCTGTCGGCGTACCTACCGTCACCCGTCTAGCTACTACGCCCCTAACCCCGCCTCATCGGCGTGTCACTGGTCGTATCGCGCATTGGTAGCAGGCCTTCGGAACTCTTCCCTGCACCAGTCGCAGCCACAGAGTGTGACCTCTGTCTCGCTCTCGGTCTCGCTTTCTCTCTCTCCCTCTCTCTCCCTCTCTCTACCTTATTCCGGCACGCCGCAGTTTACTACCTTTTTCAGCCATCGCAGCCACTCGGAGAAAAAGCAACGTTCTCTTTTCCCCCCTCCCCGAGTCCCGTGACACTACCCCCCCAGGCCGCCCGCCCCGCCTTATTATCTCTTTTTCTCCCCTCGTTTCGCCTGCAAGGCGACCTTTCTTTCTCGCAGCATGTCAAGAGAAATGGCCAACGAAATCAAACTCCTCAGCGGCAGTAGCCATCCCGATCTGAGCGCTCAGGTCGCCGGCCGGTGAGTGAACTTTTGATCAAAGTCCTGTTTATTGTTTATTCCCCACCTTCTTTTCGCCGTGGGAATTTTCCCGCCGTCCGTCCCTATGTTCTCTCCGGGTCTCGGCGCCCGGTTCCCGGCCGTGGTTCCCGGCCGGGAGAGAGTTGGGGTACGGGTACGCCAAGTGGGTGCGAGTGAGACCCGGCGCGTCCACCTCTACCTCTACCTCTACCTCTACCTCTACCTCTACCTCTACCTCCGCCATCTCACTCTCCCTCTCACTATCCGTCTTCTTCACCCCTCTTTCAAAGAGCCTGGGCCTGGGACTGGACTGCATATTGTGCTGACACGAGTCCTCCCCTCATCCAGCCTCGGCATTGAAATCGCCAGGACCGTGTCCCTCAACTACTCGAACCAGGAGACCTCCGTCACCATCGGCGAATCCGTCCGCGATGAAGACGTCTACATCCTCCAGTCCGCCGCCACCGGCGACGTCAACGAGGGCCTCATGGAGATGCTCATCATGATCCACGCCTGCAAGACCGCCAGCGCCCGCCGCATCACCGCCGTCATCCCCTGCTTCCCCTACGCCCGCCAGGACAAGAAGGACCGCTCCCGCGCCCCCATCTCCGCCCGCCTCATCGCCAACATGATCCAGACCGCCGGCGCCAACCACATCATCACCATGGACCTCCACGCTTCGCAGATCCAGGGCTTCTTCTCCGTGCCTTGTGATAATCTGTACGCCGAGCCGTCCGTCCTGCGCTGGATCCGCGAGAATCGCAACGTCGAGCAGGTCGTCATCGTCTCGCCCGATGCGGGAGGCGCCAAGCGGGCCACTTCTATTGCTGATCGTCTCAATGCCAGCTTTGCCCTTATTCATAAGGAGGTGCGTCGTCTGCCACGAAATCATCTTTTCTTTTTTTCTTTCCTTCTTTCCTTCTTTCCTTCTTTCCTTCTTTTTGTTTTCGCATCGCTTACACGTTTTGAACAGCGCCCCCGTCCCAACGTCGTAGGTCGGATGGTTCTCATTGGTGAGGTCCGCGACAAGGTGGCCATCCTCGTCGATGACATGGCCGACACCTGCGGTACGCTGGACAAGGCCGCTGGTCTCCTGCGGGATGCCAACGCCAAGGAGGTAAGCTCTCTCCATCCCATTCCCATTCCCTGCCTCATCCTATTTCGCTGCACGCGAGCTAACAGTCTCCTAGATTCTGGCCATCGCTACTCGTGAGTTCTCCCAGCCCTGGTTCTTCCAGCCCTCGCCACACATAATCGTCTTTGCGAAACCCGCCACTGACAAACTCTGAACAGACGGTATTCTCAGCGGCAACGCCATCGAGACCATCAACAACAGCAGTCTCTCGGCCCTCGTGGTTACCAACACTGTCCCTCTCGGCGACAAGGTCAGCCGATGCCCCAAGCTTCAGGTGATTGACGTTAGCGGCACCCTCGCCGAAGCCATCAGGCGGTACGTTACTGCGCCCTCTACCACCCCAAAGACCTGCTGGCGTCGAGATGAGACGGCTAACCTCGCCACAGCACGCATAACGGCGAATCCGTGTCCTACCTCTTCACCCACGTGCCTGTGTAAATTTCCTCCCAGCCTACATTACTCTGTTTCTTCTCACAACGCATCGCGCCAGCTCTTATCTTCTATACATACCCCTAGAGGGCATCCAAAATCAGGGAGTCGGCGTTTGGGTTTCTTTTTCTCCGCATGGACGAGGCATGTGGTGTGGAGTATCAAAAAGCAAAAGGTTGTTAGCTAGATTGGCGAGGGTTCTTTGAGGCTGTTGGTGGGTTCTTCCGCTCCCTACTGAACATTTGTTTCCGAACGAGTATGGTCCGCTTGAAATGTATGCAGCCTCTATGAGGCCGTTCATGTGCTACCTAGATCATATCTTCGGTTCTCAAACGTTTCATGCCTGGTGCGGAGGTTTGAGTTGGATGCCATGGCTGTGGGCGTTCGCTGACAGGAACAAGGTATGAAAGCGCCACATGAAAGTTGATGCACCGCCACAGCTGTATACCAACGTCCCCCCGAGTTCCTCCTCCTCGAGTCTCGTGTCTTTGATCATGCCAAGTTGAGGAACTCACTGCTGAGTTACCTAGGTAAGAAAGAGCAACAAGAATAGTTACCATGCCCTTTTATGGTTGGCAGTGTTTAGGTAAAGACTTACGAGAATTCCTGGGATATCTGACTTACATCAACCAGAATGGGTAGAAACAAATACCTTCTTTGTGTTTCGTGAACACATTGAATGATATCAACGCCCTTGGATGAGTTTCTGGCTTTATTCTGATTACAGTAACTGTATAGAGAAGACCGAGCTTATGGTATCCAGAGAGATTCACAACCTAGTGGAGTCCCCTTTATGCATGTCAGATTTCTTTCAGACAAAAGGTGGTAGACAACATGAAATCCCCCATCTCCATGATGTTCCCAATAACCTTCCTTAAAAATCTCACATAGACTTCCGCCCAAAATGTTCGACTTCTTCCGTATCCTCTTTTCTTCTGGCTAACATGCCGGTGCCATCACTGATCCATTCATCTGTTACATACGCTGCACACCCGCATATACCGCACCCGCCTTCTCTTGTGAGATGCAGAATCATGTGAGCCTTTCACTTGAGGAAAGAGCACGCGAGGCCTACGAGTCGTTAGCCATCCGGACAGCAGAAAATACGGCCAGGGCACACAAGTATAAATTCACCCACGCACGCCCAGGGCCTGATACTCGATCTTTTCTTCCCTTCCACACGCAGTAAAGGTGTCCAAAGGAAGCTTGTTTACGAAACACAGCTTCGTCGTCAGAAACGTGCCTATAGTAGATTCCTTCTACTGTGTTTGTCTCCCCTCGTGCTGCTTCCTTTCCTCTTTGCGTCCTCATGATTCCCTGGAATTGATCTCTCCAAGCAGATTTCTTCTACTGCGTTTGTTTTCCCGTCACTACGCTACTTGGTTTTGTTTTGCCTCAAGAACCTTGGCCACTTCTCGGAGCTTCTCGGCTCTGCTGCACACATCTCACTCGACAGCCAAGTCCATCAGACTGCTACCGGCTACCCCTCTCTCACTGGTGGGACTGCGACTGCATCGACCTTGTGGCAACCCGGACCCATCAAGTCTCACGCAAGGATTGATTTAATCTTCATCTGTCATGGCCAAGGTAAGAAGTCTGAACACGTATCCCTCACCTGTTTGTGGATAAAACGTTCGTCTTTACTCCAGTGCTGTATAGGTATTCATGCATACTGATGTATCGACACTTTTTTCACAGACCAAGAGCACCGGACCCGGGTCCGCCGCCAAGAAGAATCAGGCCTCTCAGGAGGTCACGATGACTGAGAGTCAGGTTGCTCCGAATGAAAACATTGATCAAGCGCCCGTGGAGGATGCTGGGGTTGAGAACAACAATTACCCCCAGTGTTCTTGCTGTATCTGCTGCCCCGAGTCGGATCCGGATGACCAGCCTGAAGGTGACCACCAGGCCCAGGAGCATGAGAATCATGAAGGCGGCACCGAGACGGGTCTCTCCTCGAGCTCCTCGAAGGCAGCCGACAAACCGCCCCCCGCCCCTCCCGGTGCCCGTCGCTGCGGCCGCTGCCGGAAGACCAAGTGCCTGAACTGTTTCTTCATGCAGAACAAGGTGTGCGAGCCCTGTCTCGTGTACTGCAGGGAGGTTACGCGCAAGAATCCCGGCGGACGCTCCGGAACCGGTCGCAAGAGCAAGCAGCAGCCGGACCTCGCGCCCCCGAACGCCGACGACGACAATGTTGCTCGGGCAGGGCCTTCTTCTTCCCACTCTGCGGAGACCGACGAGGAGCAGACGACTTCTGAGGCCCCAAAGACCAACCGCAAGCGCAAGCGCGAGGCCGAGTCCCAGCCTGAGACGTCCGAGCCTGCGGCTGCTAAGAAGACTCGAGGCGGTAATGGCCGTGGCAAGAACGCTGCTGGAGTTGCTGCTTCTACTGGTGGTCGTGGTCGTGCCGCCCAGAACACTGCCAAGAATGCTCGTGCCTCTACCTTTACCTCTGCCTCTGGTTCTCGTTCTGGCTCTGCTTCTGGTGTCACCTCTGGCTCTGCTGATGATGCTGAGATGGCTGATGCCAGTGAGGATGGAGGCCATGCTGCGGCTCCCGCTGTCACTGTTCCTCGGTACACGGTTCGGAGCCCGGTTGTGCTTCCTGCTCTTCGCTACTCTCGCCCTCGTCCCGAGACGCGTGCTCAGCGTTTTGATGCCATGTTCCCTCGTGGCACTGGTGAGCAGTAACTCACGCTGTCAAGCAGGGGTCGCAGTCTTGCACTTTGCATTGCCGTTTCACCAGCAGGAATACTTTGACTGATGGCTAGGGTTGGCCTCCACGTGCAGATACGATGGGCTATTGCAGATTGGGTTTGGGTTTGGTTTGCTTGAGGTTGCTGCGTCTTCAGACGGACATAGGACATGGAGGTATCAGAGGCCCACGTACTATAGGAATGAATCACAGGAAATCTCTTCTCCGTTATGATGTGGTCCTTAGGTTTGTGTGAACAGCTCAGCTCACTTCCAAAATTCCCTGGTTGTTCTGCCTCTGCCCGGCCTTCCTTGGTTACTCGGTTGCTGCCAATGTACTTGTCTCTATTCAAAGCCTAGAGCAACAAACGCGGGGTTAGATAGAAGAGAATGCCTGAGACTGAAACAACCAGAACGCAGAGAGGAGGGAAAGACCGAGAGACTCACAGGCTTTGTCATCTTCTACGTGTAAGCTAAGGTACGATATGATAGGTCGACTACGTACATGACGGGTGGGAGCGCTAATGAAATGATAATTCAGGAGTTTTCAGAGCCGGTGCCTCCCCAGGACGATGACATGTGATGGCCTCTCAGATGGCAGTGGCAGAGAGACTTCAGGAAGTCTGGGAAATAAAGAAAAAAAGAAGAAGAAAAAGGAGGGAGGGGGGAGAAGAGGTAGGACTCATGGGAGAACCGGTTGAATGACATTCGAGCGGTCAGTGATATTAATAGTCAACCCTCTTCTACTTGCAAAGCGTACCACGGTAACTTGGTCCGATTGTTCCTAAAAGAAGATATAAACGACTCGGATTTTGAAAGATCAAAATACAAGTGGGCAATGGTGGTTGATAGATCTTTGGCCAGAGGGTCAAGTCGGAGCTTATATTATACTATTATATCTTAAACTAGCCGTTATATAATATATATGTAATTTAAGAGGAAGTTGCTTTGTCCTTCTTAATCAGATTTGTTTGCCGTTTCAAGTTTTCAATCTTTGTATATAATGCATCAGGACATAGAAGTTGGAACTATTCAAGTTAAGAAAGGGGAGGTGCTGATTCTAAGAACCATCTTAGTATGCTATTGCTATGTATAGTATAGTATAGTTCTTATGCCTTTCCTTCCCTTAACAGGGAGCCCCGGGGTGATACAAGACCGTGGTACGTCTTGTTTTCCGTGAATCGACCCGGGTCTGGGACCCGCTAAGTCCGGTGAAGGCGTTAAGCCACGCCGGGACGATAGGGTGGAAGTGGAGACAAGGCGATTCCTAAAAGAGGCAAAGCGTGGATGACTAAGAGCAAACGGAAGTGACCAATTGCAAATGCAAACATCGTATCGAACACCCCGAAGAGTCTCCACATAAGGGATAGCTTGCTGGCATGTGATTCGTGGACCCAGAGTTACACCAGCACAAGTCACGCCATACTGATCCACACTTCTCCACATTTCTTCACACTACTAGGCCACTTACACGTGCGTGTAAGAGGGATGCCGAACGTCCGGGGTCAACGGCCGGACGGTCTTGAGGTCAGCAGCAAGGATAAAAGAGAGGGTTGTCAGCTCATAAAAAGAAGGGGAAATCTCCCGTGACCCTCTCTTGTTTCTTCGGTCGAAACAGGGTGGATGAACATCAAATAAGGCCTTCCTCGATATCTCTCTCTCACCGTCATATTCAATACCCTGGTCCATTGGGCAGCCCGGCGATCACCCCTGAATCCCGATCCGTCTTAACGGGACATCAAGACCAAAGCCGACAACAGCCCAGCAGAGTGTCTCGAGTGATTAGCCGTTACTTTTCACCTGTTTTCCATGGAGTGTACGTCGTCTGGCTTCTCCTTCTATCCATATCAATTCATCAGTTCAACTCTAACCTTCCTTCAGGGGTATCAACCGTATCATAGAACACTCGTTATAGTACCGACCTGTCACCTGTAATACAAGTCTTCTCAGGCCGATAAATTCCGAAAGATACCCCCCTGGGAATCCCATCCTTCATCAGTTTGGCTTCTCAGATATACACACCTTCGTTATCCACCTTCGCTACATGCCGACACCGACCCGGACACTGTCGTTACACACTCCATCCGCCTCGTCCTCTACGTCGTCACAATGTGGCTAACTCGCACCATCTCCATGACCAACTTTGCCGTCGCATCGTCGGCCCTCGCTTTCCAAGTCTTCGTCCTCTACCCTTGGCACGAGGAGTTGCAACGCGACTTCAACAATCTCCAGAAGGAACACAAGACGGCTCTCGAGGCTGTGAAGCTCAACGTCGAGGAGCTGAGACGAGAACACATCCGGGTGCTCGACGCCGTCAAGGCTGACCTGGAGGTCCAGAAAGGCAAGCGCTCTTCTGTGCTCGCCCAATTGACTCGGGGGCACTGGTGAAGGGAAGTGATCCGAGGGAGGCTATCCCGGCTTGGTCTGACCTGGGACACATTGTTAGACAAGAGCACAACACGACGATGAAGAGCAAGCGAGATGGATAGTTATATAGGTCCTGGTGGTAGGACCTGGACCTAGTTGTTCTCGCAGACGTTATGCTTATATACCCACGTAGACTAAACGATTCAGTTTTCTTCCTGCAACATGTCGGTTGACTTCTTTTTTTTTTTGTTTACTCTAGTCCCCCATGTGGGATATTTGAAATTAAAGCTGTGGACTTCTGTTAAATCTCTTCATGATAGAAAACAGAACATGGAAGTTCGGTCTTGGGTTTGATTCTATACACTTTCCTCACAATCCTTCTCTCCATTTGTAGATACAGGCTTGGGCGACAGTGTGTCCGCGAATATGTTCTTCATTATGTCGTTCTCTTCTTTTTTCTACCTTGGACGATCGACTATTCCGGGGAAGAGTCTGCCTCCAGAGCCCTTATATGTAGTGCGTTGTCCGCTTTTCGGCGATTTAGACTATTCGCACTTGCGGCCCCCCTAAAGCAAGTGGTCTTGACCGTTGGAAAAGCTACGGCCGGCGCAAGAAAGAGAACGGAAGAAGAAGGCCAAAGTGAGTCGAAAACAAAGGGTTCATGTTGATGCTACCAGAGCCCGAGGTGAAATACAAAATCATCTACCAGACTCTCGTGATAAAGAGAGGCAAAAACATTCTCCCTAGAGTCAACTTGTCAAGCTCTCTCGCCCTGGTTTGGAGAGACCGGCGAACTGATCTCCACCGAGCCACCGGTTTGGGGGTTGGACTAACACGGTAACACCCCATGGGGAAAGGATGGCCTGCGGCTTCACGCCCTGATTGGAACAACGAGAACATACCGGGATAAAGCTTTGTCGGGGGAAAACCGGAAGCCACTTGTTTAGCCCAGGGCCCCAGTTCTGCCAAGTGCGCTTACGCTTTCGGGACTTTAACTACCACTCGGCATCCCCATTTCTCTCCATGCCGGCAATCCATATTGAATGGACGGACCGGACGGAAGTGATAAACTCGGGGGTCAAGACACCAGGGAATTTCTTAGGATGTACGGAGTAGCTTGGATTCTGGGGTGAATGTCAGGGGTCTGGTTACTGCATCAGTCTGAACTCTGAAGTTTTGATATAGGACTACAGTCTACTGCCGAGGTAACAGGAGGTAACACGAAATCGAAGAGACCGTGTGAGTGTGCTGCTGCATCAATCACAATGCCATTCTCAAAGGTTAGCCCCAGAAAGTACTCCACAAGACTGTATGGTCTTAAAAGTCGTGGCTTATATTGAACGTTGATCTGACCCCTTAGCCATCCCACCCGGGCCACCCCTATTCATTCCCTCGTTCACGTCACTCAAACTCTCCTTCCCCCCCCCCCATTTCCATCACGGAATCAGTGACTATTGCTTCTTCTCGTCCGCTGGTAGACCAATCTCATCAACCTCCGAAGGGCTGTCACCCAAGTCATCATGCGTCCTTACCACCGTCCTCTTAAACTTGCGCGCCGACACGCGCTGATCAAACAGAATGTCCAACTCAGCGTAGGTCCGACCCTTGGGCTCGGGAAGACGGAAGTAAGACCAGATGGCACAGAGACCGCAGGTGCCGGCCCAGAAGAAACCGGCCCGGGCACCCCAGTTCCACGCCGACGGGTTCAGCATTCTGGTGGTCATGACGTTGCCGACCATGCCCAGGATATTGTACGTGTTGCGGGCCAACACCACCGTCTTGTTCTTGAGCCGCGTCGACGACAGCTCCGACACGAGCGAGTAGCAGATGGGCCCGACGGTGCAGTTGTACGTCAGCGCGTAGACGAGCAGCAGCGAGCCGATGGCCCACTGGCCCGACTCGTTGTCCCGCCCCGCGAAGGCCGCGAACCCGATCGTCAGCAGCAGCACGCACATGGTGACCTGGCCCGTCAGGTACAGCGTGCGGCGCCCGAACCAGCCCATGAGGAACCAGGAGAACACGGTGCCCACGCCGCCGATGGCGTACTGGCCCAGCGACATGTTGAAAGAGTCCTCGACGGCCATGCCGGCCTGCTGGTAAAAGTAGGTCGAGAAGGCCATCATGGTCGAGCCGGACAGGTGCTGGGCCGCCCAGGTGAGACAGACAATCTCCGTGCGGCGCCGGTCGATCCCCTTGAAGCAGTCCCAGTACTTGGTCCCGGCCGAGATGGCCTTCTCGAGCTCGTTGGTGTGCACCATCATCGACACGTTCTCGTCGGCGTTGAAGTCCGGGAAGGCTTCCCGCTTGGTGAGGCGCAGCACCGACCGCTTCGCCTGCTCGAGCCGGCCCTTCCGCACCAGCCACCAGGGGGACTCGGGCGCGAAGAAGATGCCGACGATGAGCGGGATGGGCCACATCCACTGCAGGGCGAAGGGGATGCGGTACCCCCAGTCGTCTTCGCGCTGGAGCATGGCGCGCAGGACGCCCATGGAGAGGAACTGGCCGATGACCCAGCACAGGTTGACGTAGGTGGTCAGGTAGGCGCGAAGGTGGGTGGGGCAGACCTCGGAGGCGTAGGTCACGGTCAGGGTCTGGAAGGCGCCCCAGGGGATGCCGATGAGGATCTGGCCGATGAGGAGCTGCACGAGGGACTGGGAGAAGAAGATGATGAAGATGACGCCCGTGGTCATGGCGAGGGCGCCGATCAGGGACCAGCGGTAGCCGACGCGCTCGGCGATGATGCCGTTGGCGAAGAGGCCGATGATCTGGCCCACCTGGTTGCCGTTGGTGAGGCCGGCTTGCCAGGCGGCCGTGAGCTGGTAGGTGCCGTCGGACTGGAGGACGCCGAACGCTCTCTGGAACGGCGGGTAGGCGAACAGGTTGCCGAGCAGGGTGATGTCGAAGCCTTCCATGATGACGCAGGTCGAGAGGAAGATGGACCAGCCGATGGCGTGCGGGTACAGCTTGAAGGATTCCCGGAGGCCGAGTTGCTGTTCGGCCTCGGAGGCACGCTGGGCCTCTTGCGAGATGTGCTTGAATTCTTCTTTGGACATGGCGGCTGCCATGCGTTGTCTGGCTCCGTCGTCCACGTGGACGGCGCTGGCCATGCCTATGTCATTGTCCGCCATGGTGAGTGGACTCGGTGGAGGCTATATGGCCTATGGGGTTTGGGTTTGAGTAACGAAGAGGGGGAGGGTTGTGGTGATAATTGGGAAGGGGTCCGAGTCAGGATGACAGGAGAGCACGCATGTCTTGCTAAGGCATACCCTTCGATTACCGTCCCAAGCACACGAGATGGCCCTCACTTTATACTCGGTTGTAAAGCAGGCCAGTGCCAGACCTCCGTCACAAGAACAAAGTCAACGTCATGAAGGACCCCTGGACCCTGGGACCTCGACCCTGCCATGCGTCCGTGATCTTTCGGTCCCTTTGCAAGCCATCCCAACCACAGTTGAGAAGGCATATTGCTGCACTGCCAAGGTGCAGTTGAAGTTCACGGCAGTGATACGCCCGTGGACGGATGATGCTGGAAACAAAAGTCCCAACAAGATCCAACTTGACAAAGAATTAACATGTAGATCTAATTTACCGTCCCCATGGGGCCCCGCCGTTGGCTAATACCCCCGAAAAGGCGACGGGCCAAGATAGGTCGCCGGGGTCAGTACCGGTTAGTGTATGCACGAGACGTCCGATAAGGTAGGTCGATGATACTGTAGACGGGACACGGCAGTCGGCGTTTGAATTTGCACGTGAGTGGCTGTCACTTATCACCGCCGACGTCGGCGTTGTGGTCCCGTGGACTCCGTCGCTCCCAGTCTGGTGCCAACAGCAAAGGTGCCAGAGGTGCCGGTTGAAGCTTGAACTTGTCAGTGCCACGACCACGCCGTTAAGGGGCCAAGGTTCAAGGGTCCACTACTCCATTGGACCAAGTGACCAAGGAACCAAAAGAACCATCCTATGATTCCTATCCCGCCCCTCCTCCAGAAAAGCATAATTCGAAAGTGAAGGCTCGAAGGATTCTATCCGGCAGAGCAGTCCAATCACGGCTCTGCGGCGGGAATATTCAGATCGGGGGTTGGAGACGGTTTGTCTGGGGTTGAACAAGGGTTCAGAGGTATGAAAGCTTGGCAAAAGGCGGAGAGCGAGGTGATTCGCGGTCTTGAGCAAACAGTTTCCGACCTCTTTCAGCGGGAGTCGGGCCTTTGCGAGGGTCCCCTGTCTGTCCCATGGTAAAAATCGCGTCAGATGAAGGGGACGGGGCGACAGATCATGGATTCATGGTATCAACAAAGAACTCGGTGTGGAGAATTTGTTCAGTTCGAACTGTTGGCTGCGTCCGATGGATCACGGAGAACAGAGACTCTCGATATTTCCAAGGTCGATATCAGTCTCTTGCTTGTAGATCTTTGCTTGTTTTGTGTGCATCCTGTATCAAGCACATATTAAATCGACACGTGGGAAACCCGGGGTTCGTGGATACTTGGATCATCTCCATGAACCCGTCCAGGCCATCCTGAGTCCTGACTCCTCCTCACTGATCCCCTGATATCAGCCTTTCTTCTCTCTTCGCCTTCCTAGGCTGTAGTTCTCAAAAGTCCCCATGGGTTTTAACCAATGCTAATACTACTGCGAGGCAAGGTATATCATCCTCCCGAGAAAACATGGCATTTAATCTGTTACCGCTTTGCCATGCAGAAAGCAGACCTGTCTCCGGACCCGAGTCCCACCTTCGGCGTCTCCGGAGACCCCGCAAAGACGGCAAGTCGAAATCATCCCCACCGGGTTGTGTCGAGAGACGGCTCAAGTTCGATGTGGTTGAGAACTTGAGCCCTGGCGGAACCATCTCAAGGACTGTCGACGACCCCCGGTCCACCGCGCACAGGTATCTTGTGAAATCGATCTATGGCTGAGAGCCAAATGCCCTGAGGTCGCGATCGCCAGTTCGCTACCATGTTGTATGGTCTTATAAGACGTCCTGGATCCTGAGTCCCTGGCCTCCAATACTCTGTGCTCTCAGTTTGAAGTGGCTTCCCTCAATTTCTTATGTCTCTCTATATTCCTTTGCCTCGAATACTGTGCGCCGACAAAGTTGAACTCTCCTGTTGACAAATGTCCTGTCACGGGAATGTGCAGAATGAGGCGACTGATCATCACTTCAGGAGTGGTGGTTGATGATCCGATGGGAAGAAATCAGACTTGCAGCTTTTATACCCAGGGATCACAGCCTACCATGTCTTAAAAGTCCGGCCAGAAGGGATCCAACTGGTCCGCACTGGAATGCCATGTAGTTATTGATCTGCGATGCATCCACTTTGACCTTGCGATCTGAGCCCCTGAGCCCCCGAGCCCCCGAACCCCTGATCTTCCCGAGTCCTTAGTGACGGGCCTTCGTACCCGGGCGGCCGAGTTCCTCGCAACCTGATCTCACTGCCCGTTGTCTCGCTACCAAAGGTAGAACTACAGAAATTGCCGGTAGTTGCCCCGGTGCATCGCGTGTCTCTCAACTTCACAGCAGAGCTGGACCTGGATCTCCGATCGATCTCCTGGGCCGCAGCGAAAAGATCAGATGGCCGGACTCTCGAAGGCAAGCGGGGTTAGAGTTATTTAACCGTCCGTTCCTCCGATTTGGCATCTCTCCTCGAGAGTCATTGTCTTCCCACTCTGCCTCTCTTCCGCAAGCCTTTAGCCCTGCTGCCGACATGGAGGCTCCAGAATCCAGACCATCAGGCTTTCTCTTCTTCTCACAGACACATGATTCCAAGGCCAATGCTGCTCAGAAGCTCGAAGAAGAGATTCTCAGGTCACGTCAAGCTGGATCACTCGTCGGAACCGGAAAAGACTACAGCGAGCAAGTGCCTCCCCAACCTCTTCAGCAAGATCCAAGAAACGTTGGTCGGCTGCTGGCAATGGCATCCCGAGACTGATCGTCACACCGAGGCGCCGAACTGACCCCCGCGACCGAACCGCTGAGGCCAACGGTTTCGCCTGAAAGTCGGCTTCTACACCGATGTAGGCTCCCGGCGCAGCTTCCAGATGCAGTACCTTCAAGGGCCTGGGCCCATGCTCCCTACCAGTCCGCATCTCTAGGCAAGAGAGTTCTCGAGCCCCATCAACGAGTCGACGATGATAAGACATGGCATGTGACGTTGAGAGGGGGGAGGAATGAAGTAAAGGACCAGACACTTTCGAAGACGGCCGACATGAGACGTTCCGTTCCGCCAGTCCCTGGCTGGAGATATTGACGGAGCTAGAGTTGGTTATCACGACGGGTTCGTTATCGACGGGAAGAAAGAATAGGTGGGCGAGTGGTGGAAGTTAGTAGAGGACGCGTGGCCGAGGCTGGACTCCCGGGCCCTGGTCTGATGTGAAGTCCAGGTTAAGGATATATGGTACCCTTGCACTCGGAGGGTAGTGATGACGCTTCCTGTAGCTGACTCGTCTCTTATTATATTCGCCGTCAGGAGGGATGAACTGGGCTGACAGAGCAAACGATGGAATTGCCGGTATTCACACATCATGCAACGTGCTCGACTCCTCATATGAACACAGCCCCCTTCTGCGCCTCGATAGCGAAAGAGACGAGCCGTCTTATCCTGTCCTCTCTTCGGTGTATATATAGGGACGGATCATGCATTGGAGCCGGGAAGCGAGCACGAAGAGTGGATTCCGGGCTGTGGTAGATGTACGCGGGCGGCGGACCTTAGTCGAGGTGAGATGACACTCGACGCATACTTTCGGATGCTGAGAGTCGGGCGTCCTGCTGATATTAACCTATGCATGATGATGAGTTTGGGGGGCTATGAGTCGGGACAGAGTGGGAAGTTTGAATCGTTGAAGACCACGGGAATCGAGGGACAGGAGATGACGTCCAAGGTCGCTCGGCCCTGATTTCCCAAGTACCACGTAATCGTAATGAGTGAGAAAAATACTTTACGTCAGGTCTTTGGGGTCTTTGGGATCGTGGTCGGAGAACCGGGGCGTTGGGATAGACTTGGGTAGGATTCCATTATTTGATGTGATTGGAGCTTTCTCGCGTCATTTGGGGGTGGAGAGAAGAGACAGAAAAAAAAACCCCCATTTTGCAAATGGATTTCGATTTATATTGGCGGTGGACTTGACCTGGAGAGCGTGCATGGTTTTGGATGTTGTCGCGTCTTGGCTTGCATCGGGTCAGGGACACCAGGAACTGATGCAGGAGGCGAGTACACCTACGGATATAAGAGTCTTTTCCCCCCTTTATCTTATTCCAGAGGCTCATCGCCTTTTGTGACTGTGACTTCGAATGACGAGGTATCCGTACGGAGGAATGGAGGAATCGGTTTGGTGACATGAACTTTAGAACTGTACCTTAGTGTATCGTGTACACATAGAGGCCGCAGGCGGGAGGGGATCGGTACATCGAGCTGGACATGAACCAATAAGGTACCTTAGACAAGCCAGTGACATCACGGTGAAAAGATTTAAGCGTCAGGGCATTTGCTTCGCCATCCTTGGCAGTAGTAGCAGGCCAATAAACAGGCGTTCCAATTGTGGGTCCGAATGGGGGTCGCGCCTGCTGTTCCTGGTCGGACCTCCCTTTGCAAGGAAGTGAGCGTACAGCGTATCGCCCAGAGATGGAAGGAACTACCGTGTAAGGTATGAAAAAATCGTGCACTCTTCGACTTGAATCTCAAGCTTCCTTTCATCCAAGGTCCAAGGCCAGGGAGTGGGCGACCGACCGAAAACAACAACTGGCGAAATTCGGGTCACCCCAGGGGTTCGCCCCTGCGCTCCGCTCCGCTGCTATCACAAGTTTCCCGTCCATGCGTTGTACGTGTAGTCTGGTAGTCTGGTAGTCTGCCGCCACTCAGAGAGAGACACCCGCGCCGCATGCTGCACGTCCTGCATGACTGAAATACACGTACCAAACTACCACGGCAGGGCATGGCAGGTTTATGTACGTTTTACAGATCGCTGGCACTCCTCTGCATGGAACCGGCGTCTGCCATGTCTGTCTCGGGATCGTGGTTTGCCCCGATTGGGCCAATAGTGTAGGTAGGTCCCGTTGCAGATGCCGGAGTTTCCTTTTCGTTGTCTCGTCTATCCAAGACTGTCGACAACTCTCTCTCTCTGTTCTTTATCCCTGGCCCTGGGCAGCTCACTTGAAAGTCCAAGCGAATGAAATGGAAGCTCGGAAACGCAAAACGCAGAACACAGAAGCATATCGATTCGCTCCAGACCCAAACGACCCAAACGGCCCAAACGGCCCAAACGATTCCAGACCATCTCCTCGCACGCGCCGGGTCTTGGAACCACAAAGCTTGGTGCTTGTGCTTCAAACAAGCAACGACGCCCGTCCACCACGGACTGAAAGCCGACCCGCCAGGCGGAAAGTGGACGGGGGTGATGGTGGGGTTCATCTACATCAACAAGCCACCCAGCAAGCACCGATAAAGGAGTACTGACATATTGGCCGTGGCTACAGTGGGCCACTCAAGTCTTTTCCTAACCTTGGTGCCCCATCTTTTCTTTCTCCCTTTGCCCACTTTCCTGTCCTTCCCTTGAAAATCGCTCATGGCTTGCTGCCACTGTGGACTGCCGAGTGCCCACACCCCTTTTATGCCCCACCTTTGCGTGCTTTGCACAGCCTCCTTCCACCTCTCCACCACCCCACCACCCCACCACCCCCGAACGCCCCCTTTCTAACCCCCTTTGTGAGCCCCTCATTGGACTTTATGGTCCGCTGGCGGGTAGCCAAGAAGCCACTCGCTTCTCCATTGTTTCGGTTGCTTTGCTTTGTTGCCCCCCTCAGTCCTTCCACGGGCTGCTGCAGGTGAACCATGAGGGCATTTCCGCAAGAATTTCTCGAAATCCGTACAACCGCCCAACTCCCAGTTCCAACAAGTCAAATTCCCTGGGTTCCCCTGACCACTTCCTTGGGTCCGCCTACAACGCACTTCAACCTGGAAGAACACAGCTTTTCGGCGCAGCAATTCGCACGACGGGTCCCAAAATCGACGACAACGACTAGCAGATTACAAAAGTCGCCTCAGCTAGGCAGGCAGACCAGAGAGAGGTAGCCAGCCCGTAGCCCTCTCAAGAGTCGGATTCCAACACAGCCTCATTCTGGGCCCTCATTGGAATCTCGCTCAATCTCCCTCCCACTCTGTACGCCCACGGCTGTCATCTTGCGCCCCGTCGTCGTCACAGGTACCCCGTAGCGCCCTGAAGGAAAGGCTCACTAGAACGAACTATACGCGAATACGACTCTCGATTTCCCAGCGTCTCGCCTCCCATCTCCGTCTTACTGAATACGCGCCGCTGTAGCCTGTCCCTGTCACAGACCACAGGCACGAGCACGACTACGAGCACGACCACGACCACGCAGCCAGATCACCTGCGCGGCGTATTCGACCAAGTACCCCGTACTCCGTCCGGCACAACTTCTTACGGCCCTTCCTATTTCCCAGCACCGCCCGGGTCATCAGTTCAGAGCCAGTTCAGCCGGAACTTCTTACGTTGCCCCTTGCCCCTTGCGCTCAGCCGGAATCGGAAAACGAAAAACTCAAATTCCACCAGGGGAGGCGCAGGTTTTCCATTTTACGAGTTACTCTGACGCCCTCTCCACTCTTCACTTCAGCCGCTTCAGCCAGTGTAGACGCCGTCGGACTTTTTCTTCCACCCCGTCATTCTTCAACCTTGTTCAGCCCTGGCGTTCATTTGAATGAAAGGGAAAAAAGAAGAGAAAAACTGGACACCTCCAGTTGCCTCCCAACATCGCCTCCCTCCGTCAGATTATAACTACTACACAGCTTTGCGCCAAGATTGTCAAACCCCTTTCGGCCTCGCATCATTTTCACCACCCTAACCTGAACCTGAGCCTGAGCCTGAACCTGAACCTGAACCTGAACCCGAACCCGAACCTGCTTGGGAGTTTGATTTGTTCAGCCCAGGCTCATTTCACTCTCCGTCTCTCATCATGGTCAATAGCAACAGCCTTGCGCCGCCTCGGCTACACATCGAAACTTCAGAGCCATCACCAGCACTAGAAGCCGAAGATGACATATCCGACAGTAGAAACGGCCTGGCAGTACCCCTACCCCCCGCAATCAACGCAACCAACGCAACCAACACAATCCACACAACCAACACAACCAACACAACAAACACAACAAACCCACCCAACAGGAGTCGCGCAGACAGCTTAGCACCTCCCACTTTTCACCTCACCACCAGGCCTCGCTCAGGCTCTACCGCCGACGACGAAACCCTGGCGCCGTCACCCACCGCCTCCACCCACTCCATTCCCTTCCTCACCCCTCTAGGTGGCAGCACCATTGCGCCCAGCATACGTTCTCGGAGCGGCAGCGTCTTGATCGAGGATACCGAAGCCGCCCTCCGCCCCGATCCCGGCTCCGAAGCCGATTTTCTCGTCTCCGACGACACCCCCTTCGCCTTCTCCCCCGGCCACCTCAACAAACTCCTGAACCCCAAGTCTCTGTCCGCTTATTTCGCTCTTGGCGGCATCCGAGGCATCGAAAAGGGCCTCGCCACGAACCTGTCCGCTGGCCTGAGCCTCGACGAGACTACTGTCCTCACCCGCGTCGCCTTCGAAGACGCCACCGGCCACAAGGCCCCCCAGTACCCCAAACCCCCCAAATCGAAATCGCCGCCTTTCACCCCTCATCCCGTGTCCGTTTCCTCCGGCGATGGCTTCCGAGACAGGATACGTATCTTCGGCAAAAACACCCTGCCCCCGAAAAAGCCCACGCCGCTATGGAAAATCGCCTGGGAGACCTATAAGGACCCCATCCTTCTGCTGCTCACCGGCGCCGCCGTCATCTCCCTGGCCCTCGGCCTGTACGAAACCTTCCGCGGCGACCATCCCGAAGGCGAGCCCCCGCTGAACTGGGTCGAGGGACTGGCCATTTGTATCGCCATTATCATCGTCACCCTGGTCGGTTCCTTCAACGACTGGGAGAAGGAAAAGGCCTTCCTCAAGCTCAGCGCCAAGAAGGACGATCGCGATGTGAAAGTCACCCGTTCCGGTAAGCCCGACATGATCGGCGTCCACGAGATCCTGGTCGGAGATGTCCTGCACCTGGAGCCGGGCGACCTGGTCCCCGTGGACGGCGTTTTCATCGACGGCCACGACCTCAAGTGCGACGAGTCCTCGGCCACCGGCGAGTCGGACGCCCTGAAGAAGACCCCGGGCGACCAGGCCTTCCAGATGCTGCAGCGCGGGACCGCCCCGGGCGACTTGGACCCCTTTATCATCTCGGGCGCCAAGGTCCTGGAAGGCGTCGGCACCTACGTCGCCACCTCGGTCGGCATCAACTCGAGCTTCGGCAAGATCATGATGTCCGTCCGGACCGACATGGACCCCACGCCGCTCCAAAAAAAGCTGGAGCGTCTTGCCATGGCCATCGCCAAGCTGGGTTTCACCGCCGCCGCCTTCCTCTTCTTCGTCCTGCTCTTCCGCTTCGTCGCTCAGCTCCCCGGCGACACCCGGACCCCGCCCGAGAAGGGCTCCGCCTTTATGGATATCCTCATCGTCGCCGTCACCATCATCGTCGTGGCCGTGCCCGAAGGTCTCCCCCTCGCCGTGACTCTCGCCCTCGCCTTTGCCACCAAGAGGATGTTGAAGGAGAACAATCTCGTTCGCGTCTTGCGCGCCTGCGAGACCATGGGCAACGCCACCACCATCTGCTCCGACAAGACCGGCACGCTCACCACCAACAAGATGACCGTCGTGGCCGGGACCTTTGGCACCGCCAGCTTTTCCAAGTCGGACAAGGGCGATTCGGCCGGTCCGGCCCTGTTCGCCAAGTCTCTTCCCCAGAAGACGAAGACGCTCATCGTCCAGTCCGTCGCCCTCAACTCGACCGCCTTCGAAAGCGAGGAGAACGGACAGGCCACTTTTACCGGCTCCAAGACCGAGACGGCCATGCTGCACTTTGCCAGGTCGCACCTGGCTATGGCCCCCCTCGGCGAGACGCGAGCCAACGAGACCGTCGTCCAGATGATGCCTTTCGACTCGAAGAAGAAGTGCATGGCCTGCGTGATCAAGCTGTCAGGCGGCACCGGCTATCGTCTCCTCGTCAAGGGTGCTTCGGAGATTCTACTGGGCTACTGCAGCACCAAAACCGACGTCGATACCCTCGTTGTCGGGCCCCTGGAGGACGCGGATCGCACTCGCCTGCGGGATACGATCAACGAATACGCCCGACAATCCCTCCGGACCATCGCGCTCGTCTACCAGGACTACCCCCAATGGCCGCCCTCTGGTGTTGAGTGGAAGGACGGCCACGTCGATGTCGGCGCGGTCCTTCATGATCTCGTCTTCCTCGGTGTTGTCGGTATACAGGACCCCGTGCGCCCAGGCGTCCCCGACGCTGTTCGGCGGGCCCAGGGCGCTGGTGTGACGATTCGTATGGTCACGGGAGACAACGCTATCACGGCGCAGGCGATCGCGACTGAGTGCGGCATCTATACCGACGGCGGCCTCGTTATGGAGGGACCTGTTTTCCGAACCCTCACCGACGAACAGATGGACGAACAGCTCCCTTACCTGCAGGTCCTGGCTCGATCGTCCCCGGAAGACAAGAGGATTTTGGTGGCTAAGCTGAAGGCCCTGGGCGAGACGGTGGCGGTCACAGGCGACGGCACGAACGACGCGCCGGCCTTGAAAGCCGCCGACGTCGGCTTCTCGATGGGTCTTAGCGGAACGGAGGTGGCCAAGGAGGCGTCGGCGATCGTGCTGATGGACGACAACTTCACCTCGATCCTGACGGCCCTGAAATGGGGACGGGCCGTCAACGACGCCGTGCAGAAGTTCCTCCAGTTCCAGATCACCGTCAACATCACCGCCGTGCTCCTCGCCTTTATCAGCGCTGTCTCGAGCCCGGGTATGCACTCGGTCCTCACGGCCGTGCAGCTGCTCTGGGTCAACCTCATTATGGACACGTTCGCGGCGCTCGCGCTTGCGACGGACCCGCCGACCGACAAGATCCTGCACCGCAAGCCGCATCCCAAGAGCGCGCCGCTCATCACGGTGAACATGTGGAAGATGATCATCGGGCAGGCGATCTTCCAGCTGACGGCCACGCTAGTGCTGCATTTTGCGGGCCACCGGATTTTGGGGTACGACCTGGGCGACGAAGTCAGGCAGATGGAGCTCGACACGATGATCTTCAACACGTTTGTGTGGATGCAGATTTTCAACGAGTTCAATAACCGCCGGCTCGACAACAAGTTCAACATCTTCGAGGGGATCCACCGGAATAAGTTCTTCATTGGGATTAACTGCGTCATGGTCGGGGCGCAGATCGCTATTATCTTCGTGGGTGGGCGCGCGTTCAGCATCAGGCCCATTGACGGGACGCAGTGGGCGATTTGCGTGGTGCTCGCGTTCGTGTCCATCCCCATGGCTGTCTTGATTCGGCTTTTCCCTGACGCGTGGTTCGCGGCCATGGCGAGGTTTGTCGGCAAGCCGATCCTTTTCGTCTACAAGCCTGTGGCGAGGGTTTCTTCGCGTTTCTTCTCGCACGTTGGCGGGCCGTTCAAGAAGGCTTGGGGGAAGGTGTTTAAGAAGAAAGACGACGAGGAGGAGGAGGACGATGATAATGCGCAGGACGACAAGGGGGGCGAGAAAAACCAGCAGGAGAAGGAGGAGAAGGAGGTGGAGGCGCCCATCATTGCGCCGGAGATTATCATCTCCCCTGGCGACGACGGGTCCAGGAGTGACAAGGAAAAGGATCTGGAAAGGGGGGTTTGAGGGTGGTCGCATAAGGCGGCGCTTCTGATTTTTTTTTTCTTCGTCTACGAATTCTCGTTCTAATTTTTGCATCAAAAGTGCGGCGTTCGAGAAAGCGATATACAGGTACGATACCCCATCAGTCTTTACTGGGCGTGTGTAAAGATATGAATGAATATTTTGGGTCATGGGACGGGTTGTTTGGCAGGGGGGCGGAGGTAGGATATCTACACACTACGAGCGATGGCTTAGATGCGAGCGGAGAGGAGAGGATGGATAATACGGATAATACCAGAGTCGAGTACATATCATCAGTCATCTTGGCGACAGTTGTTTCCACACTTGATGCAGACCAACCCACTTGGTGCGCTCACTCGACGACCGCGGAAAACGGAATCCGGCATTGTAATGCATCTCCGGCCGCCAGGGCACATGCTTCGTATCGGGCGACTCACTACACTCTCCTCACTTGCAAACAATCCCAATCCGCCGAAGAAGTGCTCCAAACTCCTGCGTCCTGCCCAACATCATCTCAGTACTATCATGGGCAACATGAAAGTAGCCATCGTCACAGGCGGCGCATCCGGCGTCGGCCTCGCCGTGACGCAGCACCTCTCCTCCCGCGGCTGGCGCACCCTCATCCTCGACTGCAACGAGACGGCGGGGACGCAAGCGGCCTCGCGTCTACGCAACACGACCTTCAAGGAAGTAGACGTCACGTCGTGGGCGTCGCTCTCTTCGGCCTTTGACGCGGCGCTGGAGGGATTCGGCGGGGTGGATTTCGTGTTTGCCAACGCGGGGACGATAGAGAGGGGGGACCGGTTTTATTTCCGGGATCCGGTGGGGTATTGTGATGATGCGATGAGGCGGATGACGGAGGCGACGAGTTGGAAGGCGCAGTTGGAGAATATGAAGAATGGGTTGTTGGCGGATTGACGGGCAGGTAGTGATGAATTACGGTAGAAAGTAGTGTAGAAGCATCAGAGAGGGTGACTGTGGGAATATTCACAAGACATTCCCGTACACGTGGGTGGTCGGACCCGAATGTGGGTCCCCGAGCACGGAGCGGAGACGTCGGGACTCGGGGTCGGGACTCGGCCGGAACAAGGAAATGCCAGTGACTCGCGCCATGATGTCATTCCACTTACACAGACCAGACCCTGACGATCCCGCTCTGCCTTCGTCCGTCGTCATCGTCATCATCGTCATCCATTATTGTCAACCCACCCCGGCTTTTATTCCTCTGTTCTTTCTATTATTTCGTTTGAAAATCCTCCCAGAAATCGTCGCTCTCAAGAACAGATGGACAAACGGTAAACCATAATGAACAACTCTTTTAGCACATGATCAACTTGATTCCGAACCACTCCGACGAAGACAAACACCGTCCCCATCCAAAACAACAACACTCCCATCCCAAACAAAAGGCTCCTCCCTCAAGCCTCTCCTCACCAACTTCCTCGCCACACTCCCCCACATCCGAGATGCTCCGCGACTCCTTCGCCGCCCTCCGCCGCCCGCGGGATAACGACCTCGCCAACCTGGCAGAGAAGCACTTCGAGCACGACCTCCGCGATTCCGACCGCGACGCCCTCCGCCGCGCCGCCAAAAGGGTCGGCACCCACGCCACCCTCGGCTCCCTCGTCGGCCTGGGCCTCGGCCTCTTCCTCGCCTACCGCCTGCGCACCTCCCGGGCGCAGATGTTCCAGGCCTTTCGGGCGTCCGAGAAGCCTACGCATGTGCAGTTTGCCGATGGACGGACGAGTATGTTGTTCTTCTTTTTTCTTCTTTTTTCTTCTTTTTTCTTCTTTTTTCTTCTTTTTTCTTCTTTTTTCTTCTTTTTCTCTTCTTTTTCTCTTCTTTCTTGCAATGTCAGAATTGAAAACTTACAATATACCCCAGAAGCCATCCCCGACATTACGCCTCTACTGCAGCCTTCCATGGCGGGAGATATTGCCACGTACGGCCTCCTCGGCCTGGGCAGTCTGTTTCTCGGCGGCGAGACGGGGCTCTTGACCGGTTCCTACTTTGCGACGCGGTCCATCTCGCGGGACGAGGAGGGCAGGAAGAGGATTGAGAACGCGTTTCGGCGGTACCGGGCCGACTTTTTGCGGAAAGAGGCCGATCGGCTGGATGGTGGAGCGAAGATTACGGATATGATCAGGTTTTCGTGATGAACCCCCTGGCGGGGATGGTCCGGTTGGGACCGTTGGGTTCAGCTTGAGGGTTGCATGTCCTGAAGTGGACTGACTGTGTGTGTCACTGTGTTGTAATATGATATATCAACAGCCACCGAGTTGTGGGAACCGGTGGAAGTCAAAGTCCGGAATGGGGTGGCTTTGTTTAATGCGTGCGGTATTATTGTACGAAAAAGACTGAATGGTGGTCACTGAAACAGTAAACTTTCTTTGCAGTTCCTTGCAGTTGAGAAGTCGAGTTTTGAGGTGCTACACTGCTACTCCGTATCATATGCGCATCGTGGGATTCATGAATCCTTCATGTATCGTGCACTACCTTTGAAAAGGTATCGAACAGGAGAGAGTTCGACCTGTCAGCATCCCGTTTCATGTGAATCATTTATTAGCCCACCGACCCATTCATTCACTGGTGGGAAGATAGCGCGCCACCATCGCTGGCTACGGTGGGAGGTTGCCGGGATTCAGGATTCAGGGGCGCAGGGACGGCAATCGGTATCCGCTCGACGGTCAGCTCTAGCCTCCAGCACGTACACTCTGAATGAGGGGTGCGTAATACCATCTGTAGCCTGAATGTGTTCAGCATCCGAAGCGTTATTTCTACATTGATCTTTTGGGGGTCTTCTTGTCAATCTTACTTGGGTCTCATTGATCCCATTTCGAGAAGGGCGACGCTTCTCAAGTCAAGGCACGGAACCACGAGAAACAGGTCGAGTCTTGACGCGCCTTTGTTTGTCACTCAAGTCTCAACATCTTTATCACTGGCCCAGACTCCCAGTGTCCGCCATCTACCAAGATCAGCAATGGACGTCCCCAAGTTCGACGACCTGCCCCCCGTCCAAGGCATGCCGAAAGGTTGCGCATGGGGCGTCTTCGACAGAGACGGCAATAAGGACGTCTTCGGCACCCTGAACCACCTCACTCCGGACGTTGTCAAAGCAGCAGCAGCCGAAGTCAAAGACGGCGTGTCCATCTCCCTCGAGTACGGTCTTTGAGTCTTTGACCACCTAGCGACCCCGGCCCCCTGATTCCCTCACCATCCCCATGACTGTCGTAATAAAAGGGTACGAAGTCTACTGACCAACTGAATTCCCAGCTGGCCGCTCGACGCAATGGATCATCTCCCCATGCTGCGCCGCAAACTCACCCACACCGTCTACCTCGCCGGCGGAGGCGAACCCCGCTCAGCCTACTGGGACGACGAACTCAGCTTCAACACCCAAGGAAGCAGCCAATGGGACTCCCTCGTCCACTGGCCCTACCAGCCCACCGGCCAGGTCTACAACGGCGCCCGACCGACAGCCGAATCCCTGAGCCTGAGCACGGGCGAGCGCAAGCCGAACCCGCTGCCGACTCTGGAGCACTGGCACCGGCGCGGCGGCCTGGTGGGGCGCGGGGTGCTGATCGATTTCAAGACGTACGCCGATGAGAAGGGTATCTCCTTCGACCCGCTGGGCTTGTATCGCATCTCCGTCGAGGAGATCGAGGCCGTGGCGGCGCATCAGGGCGTGGAGTTCCGTCCCGGGGACGTGTTCCTCCTGCGCACGGGGGCGACGGAGGCATTGGATCACCAGGGGCGCTTTTCCATGGAGAAGATGGCTGATTTGAAGCTGCCTGGGGTGCATGGGGACGAGGCGGCGGCGAGGTGGTTCTGGGATCGGAGGTTCTCGGCTGTTGCTTGCGATACGGGGGGGTTCGAGGCTTACCCTCCGTTGAAAGACGATGGAACGGCCGGTCAGGCTGTTGACCTCGGTGAGTTTTGTGCTGCTTCATTCGTTCTTTGTGCCTCGTGCTTTTCGAAAGACGGTCGATCCCCTCTGCTTTTGTCTGGACGAATCGCTCACTAAGGTATGCTGCCACTAGTCCTCCATAAGTACTTCCTCGCCTTCTTCGGGATGCCGATTGGGGAGTACTGGGACCTGACCAACTTGGCCCGCTATTGCAAGCAGACAGGCCGGTATAGCTTCATGTTGACTTCACAGCCGTTGAATGTGCCGGGCTTGGTTGGATCGCCGCCAAATGCACTGGCCATTTTCTGATGGGAGGTTTGAGCAAAGGTTGAGATGGCATGCTGCTGGAGTTCTTCGTCAAGTATAGGCATTCTGCATTTTATTGCTTCTCCCTGTGCTAATTCAGGGGCTGAAGGCCAGCACGACTCACCAGACGTCGATTTCAGCACAACAGGCTCCCATACCACCATCAGGTTTCATAGGCACGAAATAAAGCGCGCTATTGTCCCTGCGAAGCGTGAGAGGCAGTTGGATCTTGATTCACGAGTTGATCTTCACCCGCATTCGAGAGGCGGCATTTGGAGATGAGCATCCGGGGTGCATATACCGTAAGAGGATGGTGGCGGGATGATCACCGTTGCTCAGCCTCAACTCTGGTGTACTGTTGACGGAAACCGTTGATCTGGTCTGGATTGTCTGCGGGGTTTGTCGTGCATTTTGCGAGAAAATGGTATTTCAGCGCAAAATATGTAGTCTTCGGTCTGAGAAGACAACACGATAGTCGTATTGACCGTAATATGACGTCCCACTGCCGGCACATTCGTCGGTTCCGACATTTCGACCAGCGGCGGATAATTACGTGTACTTGGGATACTGTTAATTTCGACCACCAGTCATGCGGAGTACGGGCCGGGGGTCAGGGTATCATTGGCAGACGTCACCGTCTCGATACTGTGACTGTTTACTCGAACCCTTAACTTTTTTCTTCAGTCTGGTTGGGTACCAAACGTCGGATCGCGTGGTCAAGAAGATTTGATTGGCAGTGAATACACATCAGAACGTGCCGTGCCGTGAAAGGAATGGATCGCCCGCGTCGTACACCGGACCGCTGTCCTGAAGGGCGGCAGGCCTTCTCGGAGGCTACACTTCTTGAGAAAATGGGTGGCATGTTGGGACTGTTGCGCTCTTCTAGTTGTCGGACAGAATATTCGCCCAGTCTCTGTTGTCAGAATGATTGATGGTTGGTCGTGTGGCGAGAAACTTGCCCTGAACCTGGCGTAGGGCTTTCATATCGGGTCTCGGAAAGTTGGAACATGGAAACAGATGCAAACCGAATCGATATGGAGGGACGCTGAGCGGAGGTAGGGGCTGCGCATTCAAGGGAGCAAGCATCTTCCCTTGGTCCAATCGATCTGTACCTGTACGTGTACGTACGTACGCCAGTAAGGCAGCCCTGAGAAGGCTCAGATCCCCTTCACCAAGGGTTTCCAAGGACTGACGCGGTCGCCATCCAGGCCATCCCCTTCGAGAGGGCTTGTCGTGGACTCGTATTTGGCAAAGCCCTAGGCAATGGTGCATCTGAACCCCGAGTGGAGGGACTGAAGAAAAGATTGTAAAACCAGGTTATTTTGAGACATCATAGATTCACTTGGCCGTAATGCAGATACTGTATTCCTTGTGCCTTTGCCTGTCGAGGGAGGAGGGGAGGGGAGGGTGTAAGTGTTACACAGAGTTTAAGAACTTTGCGGTGCCGAAGTAGGTAATGAAATTATCACGTGTTGATAAACTCACGTGATGCTCCTCTTTTCGGTACTGTGGGTCCTAAAAGCACTGACCATCTTCTTATGGTGCATAGGCCATTCTTGTTTTATCTTATCGCTCCCGACTTCACTCTCTCATGCACCAACCACTCAGCTCCACTCTCCCCGACGGTCCCCGTCCTCGCTTCAACCAGAATGATCCAATATTTACACCACCGTCGCTAACTCTCGACCCAATCAGTTGTGGCGTATGGATATTTCTACCTATTGTTTTGTATCCGGCAATAAAACGCGCTTCGGGGAACTTTTACCGTCTGCTCTTGACCTGAACTGACTCAAATGAGTCCGTCGCGGCCCTGGTCAGACTCGTTCAGACTTCGGATGAGCTCACAGCCATGACCGCCCGCGCAAAGATGGCAGAGGAAGTTGCGGATCACGAACGCAAAACCAAGGTTACGCCTAATAGCCGTCTGCCGTCTCTACGTGCATGGCTTAGAAGCTAGGGGTGACGGGTCAGGAGTCAAGACGCCCTGGAGACAACTTAGTAGTGCCGAGAGCGCAAAGAACTGGGCACCTCCTGCTTACGTTCTGACGTCTAACATGCTCTCATCATGTCTCTAGGAGAAAATAGGTTCTTCATTAACACTACCCACAAAAAGACCAGACTCGGGGAGTCGGGATATCCTAACAGCCTTGCAAGCCAGTGGCAACCCACACAGCACTCTAAAAGCTTTAACCCTTCAAGATCTCTCAAGGCCCAACTAACCAAGCCAAGCCAAAACCTGTCCAAAGGTCCCAAGGTCCGTCTTTAGGCGCAGAGGGTAAACGTGACATCCTCAGACGCCGTGCAGACCTTGACCTGGCTCCCAGCAGGCGCAGTGCCATCTTCCCAGACAATAGCGCCGCAGTCCTCGTTCGCGCTCTGCACGACGAGCTTGTTCCCGGCGAAGGCGTCCCCAAAGACGTTGGAGAGGTCGTACCAGACGTTGTCGCCGTCGAGGCTGTAGGCGTAGATGGTCTGGGGCTCGCCGGTGTAGAGGCCGTCGCGGTTGCGGGTCACCTTGAGAGCCTTGCCGCCGGTGAGGGCATCCACGACGAACTTCTCGCTGTAGCTGCCGCCTTCGGCCTCGAGTTGGTGGGGGCCGTTGATCTGGCTGCCGACGGACCATAGGGTGACTTCGAAGTCGCATTCATTGATGACGGTGGCGTTGCCGGTGGCGGTGACCAGAGGGGTGGCGATGGCCAGGGCGGCGATGAGAGACTTGAACAACATGATGGTAGATGGTGAAGGGAGGGGGTAGAACGTCTTATGTATTGTTATGGGATGCGATGTTGCTTAGACTGAGTGAGACTGGGTGAGAATAATCTGGACGTCTCCGTTTGGCGTTTAGTTTTCTTATTGTGCTTATTGTGCGATGCCTTAGATGGACCATGGAATGCAGACCAAATATCGAGAAAGGCTCCTTTTTTTATACCCATGAGGGACAGGCCCCAGAATTCCAGGATCTGCAAGAGTTTGGGCTTTCGGACTCATCCACATCGTTGAGCTGAGAGTATGTCAGCAACAATCATCAGACCTCACGCCTAGAAACCCGAGGTGATGAAAATAGCATCCTCATGACGATGGTCGAGCTTGCTTACGCTGGTCGCTTAGATTAATGCCGACTGCCGAGACCCAGCAAACGGGCCTGACCACTTGGCGTGAGGAGCCGACAACCCGAGTCGGCGTGTGAGAACTTGGGTTGGCGCTGTTGCCTCGCTAGGCCGACTTGCCAATGTCTTCTTCTCCGCGGACCCATAGATAGTAGACCTCGTCAAGAAGAAAAGGAATACGAGATGCCCTCTTCCGTCGGCGGATACGAGCTTGGGGGTCGTTGAACGGGAAGGGATCGTCGGACCCCGTATTCTCCCCATGACCGATTGACAACCAAGTCCCTCCTCCGCTTTGGCCGCTTGGCGGCATTGGCATTGGCCCACCCCCGCCATGCTTCCTTGTGCGGAAACGGAAAACTTTTGTCATGCGTTTTTGTCGTTGCATTGAGGCCGACGTTGGGTCCCGTCGTTAAGCTGATGGGTTTCGGGCCGAAATGCGTAGTTGGAAGGTATAGTCCGTAACAATCGGGTTAACCGAGGCGCTTACCGATTCTGACGCTGAGGTCATCGTTTGGTTAGATGGTTTATCTCTAGTTTACATGTACCGTTTTGAACTAGAGACGAGCTAGCTGAGGGCTTCCCCGATATGAAGAAATATATGGTAATAAAGTGGTCGACATGCGGACATTGTCGTGAGCAGGGGCGGCCATCGGCAGTGGCGAATTCAACGCCCCCTTATCAACCTGACGAAGTGAAGTTACCTAAATAGAAACGTCGGGTTGCTAGATACGGACAGGCAATAATAATTTGCGACCTCGAATTGGTCTTCACCTGATGAACGCCATTGGGCGTTGAGGGTAAGGCATAACGTTACATCCTCAACGGCACAGCTAGCGACGTCAAATTGCATCAGTAATCCGTTCATAATATGGAACATTAACCAACCCCTTCAGAGGTTGACCAAAGAACAGATATAATCATATAAATGATACGACCAACCTCGTGGAATCTCTCGAGTCCCCTCTCTCGTCTTCGAGCCGTGTGATGTCAGACGACTTGAACACATTCTGCATTAGGCGCGAACACCGTGATCCGCAAATTGAGGGAGCATTCTCATATTGATAGCCGTTGAAATTTGAAGCCGTTTCTGTCCCTCAGGCCCTGATTCCCCCCTATTTCAAACCCGATATTTGAGTCAACTGGTCCAGCGGCACTCATGAGATCGATACGACCAAATTCGTCGAGCTGTGAAACGGCAGGGAAGGATCTAGAGTATGTCAGTGCTTTATCAGATCTGCACATCTTGCCTTTTAATTTGAACTCGTGGACCCTGTCCAAGGGTTTGCGTGACAAGACGCAGGGCTGCCGATCAAGCTTTTGGATTCATTGACCGAGAGGGGCTACGCATGTTGTATGAATTTCAAGGCAGAAGCCATTTGACTAAGCCCATTTCGATGGGTCTTCTCAATAAAGTTGTGTGTATAAGGCGAATATTCAACGCGCGGCGTTATAAGAGGCATCGTCGATGTTTGGTGATGTTTTGAAGCAGAAGGGTTGTGGTGTTGAAGGAGGGAAAACGCGATTGTGACGCGTAGGTGGGGTGGATTAGGTAAGGTAGGTGGGGTGTTTGAGCATTAATTTCGGGACATACAAAAGGTCAAGTAATTTGATAGTTTTGCGTGTCTACTAATAAGTGATTCGCTAATTGCCATGGTCCGGCCAACCGTCTATAAAAGGGCCGAAGCGGCCTACTTTGAATCGTCCCGGAATTTTGTCAACTCTCTTATACTCTTAGGTAAGCTGCTCTTCACACCTTATTTGACCCACTGTAGATCCACGACAACAAGCAAGAAGAATGAACCGTAAAACGTGAGGATGGATATGGAAAGTTGAGGCGTTTGTGCGTTTAACACCGGGAATTGGTTTGATTTGTATCCCTGAGCACCTCGTCAGCCGAAGTTTCTTCGTCGTCCTTGGCATGGCTCTCGCTCATTGCCCCTTCTTTCATGGCCATAAAAAGTGACGAGTAGGGGACCCTACACTCAAATGTATCCTCACTTCCACTATATATATATACCCTGGTTTGAAGTACGAATAACTTTACGAAAAATGACTTTAAACATGAGAGAGAATTCCGAATAGATAGACAGAAGCTGTCAAAGTGGAATCAAATCTAATATCAGGGGCATTCTTCGATTTTCTATGAATGTTTGAAGTTAAAGGGTTGTGTTGTTGTAAGATTGGGGTGACATTTGTGGATGGGTGTTTCTACTCGTCACTTTTTACCCCCCCTGTCCGTTTGTGAGGTGTCTCCTCCGATGACTAGCAAGGCGAAACGATCATCTTCGATGCCAAATGCTGTATCTCAAAAAGATATTATCCGTGATTTTGTCGGTCTTTTCACCGTGGGATTGCCGTCATATGCGTGCCAATAACAGAGCAGGCACGGATGAATACATGGGGCAGAACTTGAGACTTGCGACTTGTTGCGGTGAGAAAGCTTGTGGACTGTGAACAATAAGGAGTCGAGCTGTCTGTTTGCAGTCTGTACGAGGCCGGAGTTTTCTACCTTAGGTATCTGGAAGAGAAGACACAGACGGTGCCGCTCTCACAAAGATAAGGTACCTAGGTCAGGTACCTTAGGCATTCGAGCTGCGTATTAAGGTAACCCATGTCACTTAAGGTACCTACCTGGTAAGGTACCTCACTTAAAAACGCCACAGAGCCCACACTCCGAGACCGTCTTTTGACAGGCAAAAGTACCTTATGATATCTACTCATAGGTAACGAGACATGGCTTTCGTTCCTACAAGTGTCAAAATTCAGGACCAACTTCTAGGAGACCTCGATATCCGGACTTTATAGTATCATAACTTCGGGAGATTTTTAACGTTGCATGCTTATCAGGATCGACTGGGATAACAAGTCGAATTTCTTAGCTACCTTACATCCGAAATACAAAGTAGATTGCAAATGCCATGCTTCCGAAACCGTACATGACAGCAAGGGACGGCACGGCTCAGAGGTGACCGGTCCAATGGGAATCTTCCGGCGGCCGGGTCGGCAGTAGACATGCAGGACGCTAGCAGCCACACAAGTCCGAAGGTCAGGTAGGGGACGGAGTAAAAACAACGGCTCGCTAAGATTTGTTATGTCCGATGTCCGACAATCTCCATGGCCAAAATATATCAAGCCCGCGAATCCTCTCCCAAACTGTCCCAACAAACACCATACGCCGGCCCCCACACTCAATCTTGGCAATGACAACAGGTCTCGGGCTTTAGATTCCAGTGTTCCACTAGATAGAGTCAGGTGGAATAAACGCGCTTCCCGGAGTTAACGTCTTTGGCCCGTTCGACTCCGTGTTATCGTCGCCGGGTAGGAGCAGAGAGAGAACCATGTAGATGTAGACCGCTTACTCTCACCTACACCTATCCGTATTTCGTGTCGTGTCTCGTTGTCTCGTCGCACCCGATTTGGTAGTGACCATATAAGCACCCAAGACTCAAGAGATCCTGCCAGATTATCAAGCCACCCGGCAGTGGGCACTCGGACCTTCTTCAGCTGCGTGTTGGAAATCTAATTCGGTCACATTTGATTCCTTGCAGAAGAATTTGTTAGCAATCAACGCAGAATCCATACTTGCCATTCATCTAGTCATTCCCGATATTTGTCTGCTACGCAACCTGGGAACTTGGAAGCAGGAAGCCAAAACGCCATCAACAAGAAACCGAGAAGACACTCAGCTGCTGCTTCCACTCAGGTCTCTCTACTCGGGTCCCGTCGATCGCGAGAAGGCTCATCTTGAGTCGACTTGTCCGAGACAGACCGCAGACCTACGGCGAGGAGACGAGGGACAACTCGAGGCAACAACACAACCACATCAGCAAACATGGCCGGTGACTCCGCGGCCGACTTCACCAGGCAACACAGCGATGGCCGCTGGGGAGAAGGCGCAGAGGGCGACATCTCCGTCTCCGCCGCCATCAACGAGTTCCACGATCTGGAGCGGGAGCTGACCACGCGATCTCGCCGCACCCAACCGGAACGGGAACCCCGTCGCCATGACACGGACAGCGACTCAACCCACACCCCGGGTTCCGAAGAAGACGGCATCTCCGACCTCCCCGACTTCCTGAGGAACGGATTCATCGGCATGCGAGCCCCCGCCGATTCCCCCACAGCGACCAAGAAACTCGGCGTCTCCTTCAAGAACCTGACCGTCAAAGGCGTGGCATTGTCCACCGTCTCGGTGGAAACCCTCCCCCGGACCATCCTCAACACCTTCGGCCCGGACCTGTGGAGCTTCCTCACCGCCAAGATCCCTTCCCTGGCCCTCCGGACGCCCCCGACCGTCGACATCCTGCGCGACATGACCGGCACGGTGCGCCACGGCGAGATCATGCTCGTGCTGGGCCGCCCGGGTTCAGGCTGCTCCACCTTCCTCAAGGCCATCGCCAACCACCGGCAGGAATACGCGAGCGTCCAAGGCGAAGTATACTACGGGGCCATCTCGGCCGAGGACCAGAAGCGCCAGTTCCGGGGCGAGGTGGTGTACTGCGAGGAGGACGACCAGCATTTCCCCAACCTGACCGTCTGGCAGACGCTGTGGTTCGCGCTGAAGAACAAGACGCGGAAGAGGGAGGAGTGGACCATTCCTGTCGTGCTGGACTCGCTGCTCCAGATGTTCGGGATCGAGCACACGAGGGACACGTTGGTGGGGGATGCCTATGTCCGGGGCGTTTCGGGCGGGGAGAGGAAGCGTGTGAGTCTCGCGGAGACGCTGGCGACGAATGCGTCGGTTGTTTGTTGGGATAACTCGACTCGTGGTCTTGATGCGAGCACTGCGCTGAGCTTTGCCAAGTCGCTGCGCGTTTATACCAACGTTACGGGCAAGACCACCCTCGTGACGCTATACCAGGCCGGAGAGTCCATCTACGAGTTGATGGACAAGGTGCTGGTCATTGACGACGGGCGAATGCTTTTCCAGGGACCGGCAAAGGAAGCCAAAAAGTACTTTGAGGACCTGGGATACTGGTGTCCTCCGAGGCAGTATGTTCCCCCCACCCGCCCCCTTGAGATGGTCGTAATGAAGTGCTAACCCGAGAAGAACAACCGCGGATTTCCTCACGTCCATCGCCGACAAGGAATCACGCCGTTTCCAGCCCGGACGAGAGGAGACCACTCCCAAAACCCCCGAGGAACTCGAGCGCGCCTTTCGCGAGAGCCCCTACTACCAGCGCCTGCTCCGCGACGTAGACGACTACGACCTCGGAAGCAAGACCCCGGACAGCGAAAAGCACAAAGTCTTCGAGATGACAGTGCAGCAGTCCAAATCCAAGCACGTCACCTCGTCCTCGCCGTACACCGTCTCCTACGCGTGCCAGGTCTGCGCCTCGCTGAAGCGGCAATTCTGGCTCTTCTACCACGACCGCTCCTCCTTCTACACCAAACTCTTCCTCCTCTTCGCCAACGCCCTCATCGTAGGGTCCCTCTTCGCCGAGATCGAACCCGGCGCTACTTCTTCCGCCTTCTCCAAGGCGACCATGACTTTCTTCGCCGTCGCGTTCGTCGGGTGGGTGCAGTTCAGCGAGCTGTTGTCGGTCATCCTGGGACGCAACACCATTGCGCGGCAGACCGCTTTTGCGTTCTACAGGCCTTCGGCGGTGGTGCTGGCAAGAGCCATCCTGGACATCCCCGTGGTTTTCCTTTTGGTGGTGGCACTTGTGGTCCCTTTCTACTTCTTGTCGAGGTTTGATCTTGACGCTGGCAAGTTTTGGATCCATTTTCTGTTCGTCTATGTGCTGTCTTACACGGTCACGGCGATGTATCGGCTCCTTGCTGCTTTTTCGTCGACCGTGGACGATGCTATCCGGTTTGTCGGCGTTTGTGAGTCTCTCCCTGGGCCCCTACATTCGCATGCATTCTCCCCGTGCCCCGTGGCTGATGGTGATCTGTAGTGATAATCGTCTTCTTCATTTTCATGGGCTTTTTCATCCCGAGGAACCAGTTGATCACCAACGTCCCCTGGTTCGGCTGGATCACTTACGTCAACCCAATGGCCTTTGGTTTCGAAGCTATCATCACCAACGAGTTTGACGGGCTTAACATGACTTGTTCCGAGGCGAACCTCGTTCCCCGGGGACCCGGGGCTGAAGCCGGATACCAGGGATGTAGTCTCCCCGGCTCTCAAGTTGGCAGCACCAACATCGACGGCGCAGCCTATCTGGATGCAACCTACAGCTTGTGAGTATTTCCTCGGCTTTCTGTTCGTATATTTCTCGCTCTGTAGAGTACCATCTCTGACCCATCACAACTCGCTAGTCTCCGGTCCAATCTGTGGCGCAACTTTGGCATCATCGTCGCCTTCGCCCTGTTCTTCCTCGCTGCCACCGTCGTTTTCATCGACAGGGCCCAGTCCTCGGGTTCCGGCGCGCAATCCACAGTCTTCGTCAACAAACCCGCCACCAAGAAGCTCGGCGAGAAATCCGAGAGCGAAGATGCCGAGGCTCTGGGGAAGGTTGGTGACCAAAATAGCGTCTTCACGTTCAAGGACGTCAACTATACGATTCCCTACGGCGACGGCCAGCTTCAACTCCTGGATAGGGTCACCGGATACGCCAAATCGGGCAAGATGATTGCTCTCATGGGAAGTTCGGGGGCCGGTAAGACGACCCTGCTGAACACACTTGCTCAGAGACAGAGGGTCGGCGTCGTCTCGGGGGAAATGTTAATAAATGGATCTCCCCCGGGCCCCGGGTTCCAGCGGGGGACGGGATTCGGCGAGCAACAAGACATGCACGAGGGATCTTCCACTGTCCGTGAGTCGCTGGAGTTCTCAGCGCTGCTCCGGCAGGAGAGCCACATCCCTCGCGAAGAAAAGATCGCCTACGTCGACCGGATCATGCGGCTCTTGGAAATGGATGCACTGGAGCATGCGTTTGTCTCTTCGTTGAATGTCGAGCAGCGCAAGCGCATCACCATTGGCGTCGAGCTGGGTAAGTGAAGGTTTCCCCCGTGCCGTATTCCTTTGACTTGAGACACACTTTCTTCATAAAAGTTTCTCCTATCTGACGTTGAACCGCAGCGGCCAAACCATCCCTCCTCCTCTTCCTCGACGAGCCCACCTCCGGTCTCGACAGCCAATCCGCCTACTCGCTCGTCCGCTTCCTGCGCAGGCTCTGCGACGCCGGCCAAGCCATCATCTGCACGATTCACCAACCCTCTTCCGACCTCATCGAGCAATTCGACATGATCCTCGGCCTCAAGCGCGGCGGCAAGACCTTCTACTTCGGCCCCGTGGGCGAGCACGGCTCGGTGGTGGTCGACTACTTTGCGGCCCGTGGCTACCAGTGCCCGCTGAACCACAACATGACCGAGTTCATCCTGGAAGCGACGTCGCGGCCCGGCACCAGGAAGGATGGGTCGACGATTGAGTGGGACGAGGAGTGGCGGGACAGTGAGGAGGCGAAAGCTCTTGTGGCGGAGATTGACCGCATTGCGGTCGAGCAGAAAGTGGCCTTGGATGAAGGGGGCGTGGAGGAGAAGAAGCAGACCAGGTTCGCGGCGCCGGCTTGGTATCAGTGTTACCTGTTGACCAGGCGCACTTTTGTCAAGTACTGGCGCGAGCCGAGCTATATTTATGGTCGGTTCTTCGTCCACGCGGTTTTGGGGATATTCACCGGATTTGTGAGTTCAGGCGTCTCTCTTACATCCCCTTTTCTCCCCCTTTCTCCCCCTTTCTTCCTTCTCTCCTTTCCCCCCTCTTCTCATTACAGAAGCCCGCAGCTAATATTACCATCACATAGACCTTCTGGAACCAGTCCAACAGCATCGCCTCCATTCAAAACCGCATGTTCACCAACATCGTCTACCCCTTCTTCGTCACCCCGGCCGTGGTCAACAGCGTGGTCGCCAACTTCTTCAGCCTACGTCAGCTCTGGGCGGGCCGCGAGCTGCCGAGCTGTACCTATGGCTGGGTGGCCTTCGCCACTGCCAGCATCGTGCCCGAAGTCACCTACTCCATCGTGGCGGGCACCTTGTTTTGGCTCCCGTCGTACTTCCCCGTCGGGTTCCCCACCACTCCCTCCGTGGCGGGATATAGCTTCCTGATCAACGTTCTCTACGCGTTGTTCGTATCCAGCTGGGGCCAATGGCTTGCGGCATGCGGCACGAACTACGGCACGATTTCCAACGTACGTTTCTTCCCAAAGCCCCCCCCTTTTTTTATTTATTTTTCCTTGTCCAAGGCATTGACTTCAATCGCTGACCATTGCACAGATGCTCCCGTTTTTCTTTGTAGTAACATCCATGATCAACGGCATCGTCTCGCCCTACTCCTTCATGCCCGACTTTTGGAAATACTGGATCTACTACGTCAACCCCATGACCTGGTTCAGCCGCGGCGTCCTCTCCGCCACGCTCGCCGACGTGCAAGTCCGCTGCACCGAGGCCGAGTTCGCGCGGTTCGACCCGCCCCCGGGCCAGACGTGCGGCGAGTACGCGGGCGACTTTGTGAGCGCGGGCGGGTACCTCCAAAACGAGGACGCGAGGGCCGACTGCGGGTACTGTGCCTTCAGCGACGGGAGCGAGTATCTGCGGACGCTGAACGTGGAGTTGGGGGATAAGTGGCCCGCCGTCGGGTACCTCGTTGCGTTTCTGGTGGCGAATTGGGTGTTGCTGTATTTCTTCGTTTACGCGGTCAGCATCAGGGGGTGGACTTTTGGGTTCGGGACTGCCGGGAGGATGCTGGGCGATCTGAAAGCGAAAGTCTTGTCTGGGAGGAGGAAGGGATCGGAAGAGTCTGAGAGGACCGAGACGGATGCTGGTGAGAAGGCGTAATGGGAATGGGTTTCTTTTGTAGAGGATAGACAGGGTATACCAATAGATAAGGTAGACATAGGTAAGGTAAGGAAGGTAGGTAGGTAGGTAGACAGCACATAAGACTACTAGGTCAGGTAGCTCATCCAAGCAATCAAGAGGATAAAGACTTACTGGCGGGCTCTCACCAACGCCGTCCCCCCGTTTCATAAGCTAGGTAGGTAGGTATTCTATGGTGACGTCAACAAGTCGGGTAACTGCTGTGTTGTCATGGTTTTTGGTGAGTTTCTGCTTGAATGGGTAGTGAGTCCCTTGCTCCTTCCCTTGGAAGCTGACCAAAGCGTGGTTGTTGAAAGAGGGGAAGGAAGGGGGAAGGAAGGGGGAAGGAAGGGGGAAGGAAGGGGAGTGGGCGTCTTTGAACCCCCTCGTTCTTTCCATGGGAACTGGGGGCCCTTCGTCCTGTGACTTTCACTCTTTTTCTATCCGCCATTTTGCTGGGCCCACGCTTTCTTGTAATTCCTTCTTGACATTCTTCTTTGCTTGCTTTACTGTCCTTCCACTGCATTGAGCAAAGACTCCGGACAAATTTAGGATCTTTTTCTTCACGACTAGACCGACTTTTCTGCCCAGATTCACTGAGCACTAGAAATAGGACAGTTATCCCACGGTGTGTCCTGCAGATGTTGCCCCTGGATCTTGCTGTTTACACTACATCCAGCAACGGGTTGATCTGTTCCTACGCCGTTGCTCTACTTCCGGCACGTCCATCTCCTTTTCTGGTTCTTATCTCTCGGTCCCCTGATGCCCTGGCGACTCCCACGGAGACGCATCTGGGTTCTGGCATAATGAAAGGACTGATGGCTATCTTGGCTCATATGGGCGCGGTGTTTTCCTCGATTTATTCTTCTTCTCCGCTTTACTGACATTCGGTAGTATCAAGCAGTCTTTCTTAATATCTCCTAGTCCAGAAACGAGGCCAAAGAAAACACCTCTTGCCTAGGCTTCCGAGTCTGGACTCTGGATCACACCACGTTGAGCTATCGATCTACCGACAAGTTCTCACTGTAAGTATCCTGGACGTTGGGAGAGTCACCATGGCTTCCCTCAATACTGGGAAACCAAGTTTGAGTATCCCAAGTGCCGTCTAAGGTCTCTTGTCTTGTAAGTTTGCTACACTTGCCACTGTGCATGCTTCTTCTTGATTCTGGCCAGTGATGATAGAGTCCGTTGATCATCAGATTGCATTCGCTTTGCAATGATTACATACTATACTTTGTTGATTCTGACGTCTTCCTTTTATTCGTCCTCATTTCCCCACACTGCTCTGGCCGTCCTCGCTGACTTGATACTGTCATAACTTTATGGAAATTGGAATTGGTCTGGCCGGCGTACTTGTACGGGAGACGACAGTAGCCTCCGAGCGAGGTTCCCTTTGAACCTTTCGATGTGACCATGGTCACATCATGCATCAAAATGTTGACATACGAGCCATACCGATCGTTCATGTTTAGATACCACCGGATTCCAAGAGACGCGATCTCTTCAATGGCTTACTCGAGAATCAGATCTAGCGCTCTCTACGACGTCAAGTTCGGGAGTCCTCTCCATAAGGTACGATCACACTTCTTCCTCCACGCTTTCTCCAAGATTCGTCTAGTCATGATTATACACTTTCCACCGAGAGTTGAACTTGAAGCCTTGGTCATTCTATGGCTGGCTATTCATGTGGACGTTACAGCCTTTATACGAACCATTCTGCCGACAGATTCTGACGTCCTCAAGACACTAACCTGAAGTCATTGTACTCCTACACTATTCTGACGACAATTCTGACTAGGGTTCAGGAACATCCGGTGTCGATAAGAACATGAAACGACCCTTATTCCCCGCACGCCACAACTAGGACACCGAGATTCATGTGGACATATTGTATATTATGTCCGTAGTGTGTCCACGAGGTCCTTTGTTTCGCCCACTCCGTGTCCCAACCGGTAGGTAGTCGCGAGAGCACCAAGAGTCCAAGACACCCAAATTGCGCCAGTCCATGAACCTGTCCACATGCAGGCTATATTCCACCTCTCTATCTATAAAGGGTGGATGAGGTATTGCGACTGGTGCCGTGAATGCCCGCGGACAGACGTTCGAACCCCCTGAAACGCCCAGACTTGACAGTACAACGTATAAACACATGCAGCCAGGGGGCGCAGAATCCCCCTAACAGCTCCGTTAAGGCCATACCGGCAGCCGGCCGAGATGCATCATATCCAAACCGTGACGACGGGAGACATATAACAAGAACAAAACAAGTTCGTCAACGAATTCCCCAGGTAGCATCACGCCAGTCCGGATGAGCAGCCCCTTTCGAAAGGTTGACTCCCGCAGTCGGTTTCTCGAGGTCCTTTGGCGCCAAACCGCACAATATTTGCTACTTGATCTCCTTTTCCCCTTGTGCCACACACACATATTTGCCAGGTAGCCGGGTCTCGTTGGTCCTTCTTCCATTATCACCCACCCCGCACCCCGGAATCATGGGAAGGACAGGGTTGCATCGAGTTGGTGTGCCCCTTAGCCCAAGGTTAGCATATTGTTCATTGGCCCGAACCCCTGACGACAATGCAGTCGGCTGTTGGTTTGTCGCCCTGTAATTTCCGATGTGCCTAAACAGGGTCCCTGCGACCTGCTCGCTTGCGGCAATGTTTCCTAGTTGGTGTTTTCGACCGACCTACCTTGAATCCTCTACAACTCTTCTATCAAAATGTTTCCCTCGTTGTCGGGTTGTACCACACAAGGAGAAACATCGTGGCGCTTCAACCCCAGAGGATGCCCAGTTAATACAACCCTACCGGTGGCCACGCCCCGGCAGCCGACCTCGTATCTCCCGGTGTAGCGTCGATGCAACCAGGAATATGCGCCCAGGAGTCAGACCCCCATGGCTCCCTGGGACCCAGGAAAGAGGTGGGTGGCGATGAGGGCCTTCAGTTCTAGGTTCTTCAAAAGGGACGTCTGCCCAGCCGGACGATGATGGTCACGCCTCACGCCTCTCCCTTTCTCTTCCTCAGCCAAGCGCCAAGTCACTCGTTCGACTCTAATTCTAATCACACTCGCTCACTGCACTCACACCTTGCCGACCTAGGCACACCGACTTACACAGTTGACAACTAGACATTCACTCGTTCATACTTACGTCTTGACTTTCCAGCTACCACGAATATATCACCAATATGCACGGAACTTACTTTGCCTTGGGCTTTCTCGCCCTTCAGTTCGCCTCCGTCAGCGCGACCGGTTGGGGCCATGGGACCTACTGTGTAAGTTCAAGTTGGCTCATGTGCTTCTCTGACCGGTGCTTCCACCGTTCGACGGATGGATGCCAACTGACACGTCGCCTCCACAGTACGCTGACAAGTGTTACCGCAACATCGTCTCCCACGGCGACTTTGGCCGGGAGTTCTGCCTCGACTTTCTCCAGGGCGTCACCACCGCGCCCGAGGCCGTCCCTACCGAGTTCTTCAAGTGCAAGGGGAAGATCCACAACGTCTCGTCTGCCTGCTCGTGCATCACCAAGACCATGACCACTGAGGCGCCTGTGGAGACTCCTGGCCCCGCGCCCACCGAGTCTGAAACGTCCGAAGAGCCTGTTCCTACGGAGGAGCCTGAAGAGCCCGAGGAGCCGGAGGAGCCCGAGGAGCCTGAAGAGTCTCCCATCCCCTCATCCTCCGCCCCTGTACCCTCCGACAGCGTCAGCGACGACCTTCCTGCTCCCACGGAACCTCCTTCGAGTTCTTCCAGCTCGGTTGAGTGGACCACCTCCACCATCTACACCACCAAGACCCGCACCATCACGGACTGCCCGGGTGACGTGCCCGACTGCCCCGGGGGTCCTTCGGTCACCACCATCACCGAGACGACCGCGGTTGCCACTACGATCTGCCCCGTCACCTCGGACGAGCCCGCTAGCACCCTCTCCACTAGCGTCGTCGTCCCCGTCCAACCTCCTTTCGAGCAACCTCCCGTTGAGCAGCCCCCCTTCGAACAGCCTCCTATTTCCGAGGCTCCTATCGTATCCATTCCTGCGGGCAACGGCACTTTCGTCCCTCCTGCGCCCACCGCTTCAAGCCCCGTTACCGCCGGTGCTTCTCGTGTCGGGTCTGCTATCTTTGCTGTTGCCGTTGGTGTTGTCGCCGCTGCTCTCCTTTAAGTGACGACATGGAGACTGCAAAAGTTCCCCGTCGTTTATGATTTTGACGCGAGTGTATTTTGGAGGAAGTCATGACATGCCGGTTTGGGATGGTTGTTTTCTTTGAGCTCGAGCTTTGACATGCAAAGCGTAATGGTGAATGGCACGCCGGATGAACATCTCCAGAAATTAATACCCAACCTCCTGGGAAAGGAGAAGGAATGCTGACTTGCCTCAGCTTGGCGCAGCTAATATATCTATGACCTGTCTATCTACTTCTTTACCCTCCTTTACGAGACATATACGATAATTGATATTCCATCTACTTCATCTCCTGTCTTGTTGGGCCATAACGGATGCGCCATCTTCACTTGAACGATCCCTTCGTATCCGGCATCTCCAGCCAGCAGCAGCGTGCCGCGCGCCTCAGAGAGAATCGAATCAGCGGGGAGGTTCTTGCCCAAGCCGAGAGAATGTTTCTGTTGGGAGCCAGTCTGGCGGGTCGGGAGAGGACCAAACCGGCCGCCTCCAAGGGGAGTGCGCATGTGGACGAGTATGAGATGAATCGTATTGACGTCTTAGCATAAAACGGCAACGAAATGCTGCCTTGAAGAGACCATTTATTCTTTCTCGTTTCATTCCGCTTGGATGCCCAGAAATGACTTTCATACCAACGCCATGCTAATGCCATGCTGATGCGGATCCCGTCTTCGCATCGCTCAAGTTGCTTTTGTCTCCGTTGCAACTCCCGCTCTGTTATTACACCCCGGGGTATCAATCATATCTGTCAGTTCGTCAGGCCCCGCCAATCGTCCACAAACGCCAGTCGATCCCGGTTGTCGTCCATGACCCTCGCGTATTCCAGCAACAACCGCCAAACATAGAGCCTCATGTCCTCTCTCCGGAGCACAGACTCGGCCCAAGCCTTGCCCTCGTCCGCAATGCGTTCGGCCTCCGCGTCGTGCCCGTCCAAGAAGTAATCCATGATTCCGTAGATGTCCATGTACGAATTGTCAAAGGGAACAAAGTGCACCCACGGAAACAGACGAGAGTCGTGCCATTCGGCGTAAATGGTCGACTTGAGCGGCAGGCTCGTCGAGAGGAGAAAGGCCCGATACCGTCCGCTGAAGGAATTTCCGTCCACATCCGGGAGGAACTTGAAGGCGTACTGCTTCGCCATGGGCAACTCGTCGGCAACAGAGTAGTACGGAGCGACGAACCGGCACGTCTTCTGCCTTTGCTTCCCCTTCCACCAGTGATGGTAAAAGTCGGGCGGGTCGCAGAGGATATCGACGAAGCCCACGTCGGCGAAACTGGACACCCATTCGCCTAGCCGGCCCTGTACCTGGACTCCGAGGTCGTACACGTCTGGGGGAACAAGCGAGAAGGTCTTGGCCTGGCTGGTCCCGTTCACCTCGGCGGCGGAGATGGCGGTTCCGTTGAGCATCTGGACGAAACGGTGGCGGTGGATGTGCCACCAGTTGTGCCTCTTGTTGCGGGCGCCCGAAGAGACGCCGCGCCAAACGAGACCATCCTTCTTCTGGCGCCAGGGACCACCCCGGGCTTTGCCGCCACTGTACGTGGTAAGGTCGTCGTCAAGATATACGGCGCCTGGGATCAGGAGCTCGTTGTTCTGTGGAAGCTTACACTCGCCGAAGAGAGGGACCATGTCGTGGGTGGTGGACATGCTGATGCTCTCAACGAATGTGCCGTGCATGCCGCGCAAGTGTGGCTGGAAACACGCATCTTGGGAAGCGGTGAAATTGCGGACGTAGCCGCGATATGTGTACCCAGGCGGAGGACCTGAGGGGTAATCAACGGGAACATTGAAAGAGGACAAGGCGGACAGGTTGCGGGCGGGACTGCCTGGCGGGCAGGCGACGCGGAAATGGTCCCAGTACTTGGTGACCTCGCCACCAATCCAGTGAGGGTCGTACTTGTCCGCCGCCGCTGCCGCTGCAGCCGCCTCTGCCGCCGCATCGTCGGCGGCCAAGCCGCTGTACTCGGAGATGGCGTCATGCACAGGCTGAAAGAGGCGACTCCGTTTCTCCGCAGCCACGTATTCGTCTACCTGTTCCCAGGGCACGAGAACGCGCGACTCGTCCATGGTGTTCACGGGCATGTCAAGGTCGGGGATGTGAGGGGACATCTCGGCGACCAGCTTCGCCCACTGGCGTAGGCGGTGGGGCGGCTCCTCAAGGTCCGTATCGATCTGGACGTTGCCGGCGCGTACTCGGATGACGGATGCTTGGTGGCCTGTGCGGCGGCGCAGGTCAGCGGGCTCAAGACCCCACAGAGGGTTGATATCGTGGTGGATGCGGTCGAAGAATTCCTCGACGACCACGGCGTCGGATGCGACGGCGGCAGCGAACCAGGCGTCAAAGCCGGGCGGTGGATGGCGGCCCCGTCTTTCGCGATATCGCCATGCCGCTTGTTCGAGAGTAACGGAGCGCTTGCCGAGGAGTTGTCTGAATGCCGACTGGGCTTCGTCGATCAAATCATCGATGGGGTGTGATTCGTTGGTGTCGTTCGCTCCGGGTCGTGAGCGGCCAAACCCGTGACCAGGGCGAGAGCCATCGTCGGAGGTCTCTTTCTGCTGATTCCATCCGAAAGCATTGTGAATGGGGCCGTTGAGAGAAAACATCGGGGAGCGGGAGTTGAAGAGGAGCAGGATAGAGCCTAAAAAGGCGAGGCCAACGATGATAGCCGGGAGGGCCAGTCTGTGTCGTGGGCCACGGATCATGACCTCGTCGTTGGATTAGAGCTAGGAGGCCAGACCTTCGTTTCCGAGAAAGACATGTTCCAATCGTTTGTCGGTGTGGAAGGGCGGGAAAAGGAGCGTCGGTGAAGCAGAGGAAAAGAAGAACATGAGGTGGGGGAAAAGATAAAAGGAAAAAAGAAAAGAAAAAGAAAAAGTGAAGGAGAGAAAGAAGGAGAAGGAAATGTATTACGTCTTCGGGAAGGAGAGACGGTGTAAGGCATAATTACAACGTACCTTTTCAAGGTAATACATGATACATCGTGGCCTCCAGAAAAGAGTTTCCACGCGCTTACAGTGGCTCACGGAATGAGACCGCCAAGGTACCGAGCCTAGGCACCTTCTTGGCCTCCTCGCTTTGGGTGGATGAGAAAAGCCATGAAACCAGGAGAGGTGGGGGCTTTGTACCGATACCCACGTACCTACCTACGTTGTATGCGCCTGGGATCCGTGACATGAAGCTGTCCATATGGGAGTGGGAGCGAGATGGATGGAGGAAAGTGAGGTAGGTCATTACCACAACGTACTTCGTAAATGGTACTTGCCTACCTTACGGGAGAAGCTTCTGCATCGTGCCTTCCTTCAAAGTTTGTTTGTGTGGTGTGATGGAAGACGGCATTAAGAATGTCTCACTTTTCCCGCTTTCCCGCTCGCTGTCTACACGTACACGTGTAAGGTATCTGACCTAAGACCCGCCAAGACCTTCGATGAAGAAACCAAGGCTTGTCATCATTTCTCGAAATTACACTGGCGGGACGATCGCAAGGACCCAAGCGCTTAGGGGAAAGGCGAGGAAAGAAAAGAAAAAGAAAAAAAAGGAAGAAAAAAGGGAGGACTTAATGACCATGTGAAGAATCTGCGTTTTGGTTTCCCTACGCAGTCCAAATCAATCGTGGCTTCGATTGACAGCTGTGTGGCGTAAAGAGAGAGGAGGGAGTACCGATCAGCATGTCTTCGAGCTGCCCCGACTATCACCAGGGGAGGGGAGGCTCTCTTAACGATATTCCCTACGAGCGATGCATGGGTCTCTGCGAAGCAATTGAAGTTCAAGTAAGTTCAAGTAATAAGCGAGGAAGGCTGTTAATAAGTAATAAACATCGGCACAAAAGTCCTCCTTCACATGACCATGATGGGATCTTCCGGGCGAACATGATAATAAGGTAGACGAACTTTATGCTTATCGCCGATTCCCAGAGTTCCGGATATCTAAGATTAAGAGCGTCTACAACGTAAACGAACGTGACGTGTCCACACCAAAGCAATAGGTTTCGCCAAGTCGAGGCCACGCGTTGGGGAGAGGTCGAGTCGCTAGTACACGTGTAAATTGTCATGTTATCTTCCCCACCAAACAGTTTCTTACCTTCCTTTGCATCGTCTTCACCTACCTAAGTAGGCAAGGTTTAGTTTGAGAAAGAAGACAATACACGTGTAGAGTATTCGTACTAACGACTACTAACAACCATCGGTAAGCAAAGACATGGACACTAGTCCGGGGAGAATAAGGTATATAAGGTATAGTGGGCGGTACGGAGTACACGTGGTGGTCTAGCTAGCGGCGAATTGTTACAAAACGAATTGCAGAGAACTGTGATCCTTCTGGCTAGGTACTTTACTGAAGGGGACATGCCGCCAATACTCATACGGTGGCAGTCAAGACCGGTGAACTTATCCGGGGTGTGCATATTGAAATTGAAAAGACGGGATGGATGGATGCAATGGGGAATTTTAGTTGGAGACCTGTATTTGCATCCGTACCGTACCTTGCAGGGCAATCAGTAAGGTACCTTGCCTCTCCACTCGCACAAGTACATATGTACATAAGGTAAGGTACCTGCAAGGGACGGAACCGCATGCCGGGTTCTTCTTTCCTCTTAGGGCTAGACCGCCAAGCCCTGTTAAATTCATTCTGGGCCACACCACCATCTCGCCTTTTCCTCTTCCTCACTTTTTCCCTTCTTCCCTTCTTCTCTGTCTGTGCCTTGCTTCCTCTTTGGGTCCCTCGGATCCAAGACTTCTCTCATTACTCCATGCGGATACCTGTACGGACATGTAAATTATTACACCTTACACCTCACACCTCTTCTTCTTGTTCGCTTTCCCGCTGCCACGCACGAGTCTGCCGAGTCCAGTTGGATGCGCCGAGTCTGGCAATATCGTCGGATAATAAGGTCGCCAAGCATCGCATCCCCCTCGTGTTACTCTGTTACTCCTCAAGCACAACTTCAACCACGAGAAACACACCACCATATACACGTACTCCGTCAGGTCTTTTCTTTCACCGGAGACTATTGCCGTTCTTCACTTTCTTTACTCGCCCGTCGTCTTCGTTCATCAGAAGCAGAAGCGAATGGCCATACTATAACCAACCCCCAACCCAATTCATACATCACGTTCGTCGACTTCTCACAGATGGTGAGGCTGCAGCTCAACTGACCATTGCCCCCTGTGGCCGCAAACTAAAGCACGAATGCTCCGCTCACTTCTCACCTTCTCCGTCTCGTCGGGTCGTCTCCATCCTCGTCATCCACTTCCACGCAAACCATTCAACGAATCGTCGTCAAACCAGGTGCAGATGAGCACAACTAAACAACCCCAGTCGTCTGTTTTAGTCTGGCTTCCAACCGCAACCACAACCGAGCTAGCTGCCTTGCCTTAGCACAACTCCATACACTAAGGTACAGTCAAACTCCATATTGCCCTGCTTTACAACGCAGTTGTACCCTGTCTCTCCACGCCCCACCCGGCCCAGTTGCTTTGGCTGTTATCTGTTGCCTTCGTCGCGTTCTGGAACATCCCGTTCATCTATCCCCATACAAAACCAAAACCTCGCTGGTCACCATGTCAATATTCGTTTCGTATCTGTATCGCCATTTGTCCAGTTGCCACTTAACCCTTAACCCATGTACACCCGGTCATGCAGCCGTCCCCCCATACTCGTACCCCGTATTATCCGCACTCTGGACCCGAAATGTATGCCTCTTCTCTTACTCTTACAGTACGACTCTCTCTTCCATACCTTTGGCTAACCAACAATCATACCCCTGCTCTCTCCCGTCCCGTCTTTTCCGGCCCCGACCCCGGCCTTCGGAAATAGCCAGCATCACCAAAATCCCAAGACCCAACCCAAGTCTTCAATCCTACCCACCTGCTGCCATCATGCATTCGCACTATCGATCGTCCAACGGGCCCTTGGCGGGCTCGCTTCTGCAGCCCGTATGCTTTTATTAGTGAATCCTCCCGTGTGCTGCCATCTTCGCTTCCTCTCAAGATCTGGGCCTTTCTTTCCTTTTTTTTTTTTTTTTTTTTTTTTTGCCTCCTTTCCCCTCATGATGCTGCTGTGCTGTTCTACGGAATAGCCTCGCGTCCTGTCGCTCATTACATCGTTCGCTTTTTGCAGTATTTGTAGTAGTAGTACTTCCTGTCGCTCTTTTCATCACACACCTTGATTTTTATTTTATTTTTTCCCAACTACAGCTATATTTGGAGAGCTCAAAATCAAACAATGAGGTGGCTGCTCGCCGCCCTCGCGGCCCTGCCCGCCCTTGTCAGTTCGCTGGCCTCCACAGACTCTTACCGAGACGCCGTGAGTGGCCATCCCCTACTCCGACTGGACGCTGTTGTACAATGCATCGCTAACCCGTGTCATGCTCTTCAACAGGATATCCCTCAATCTGGTTATCTCCCCAACCACAACCTCGACCCTAATGTAGTCGGCTCCTCTAGCTTCCGCACCCTCTGGGAGTTCCAATCTCCAGACTCCGACGAGCTATGGCTGGCGAAGCCCCTTGTGTACACCCCGGCCGGGAGCCCGGAACTGCTCATCACCTCGTCCGAGAAGAACGTCGTCCGCATCTTCGACGCCAAGACGGGCGTCATCCTCAACCAGAGGAGCCTCCAGGCCCCCTTCTCCCGCGGCGACAGCAACTGCGGCGACATCCCCGACTGGATCGGCATCACCGGCACGCCCCTCATCGATCCCGCCACCGACATCATGTACGTCTTCTCCAAGGGCTACCGGGAGGGCACCACCTCCGGCACCGCCAACGGCATCTACAAGATGTACGCCCTGCGCATCCCTTCGCTCGAAGACGCCGAGGGCTTCCCCGTCCTCATCGACGGCGCCAACGCCGACAACGACCCGGCCCGCTACTTCGTCGGTGGCGTCGCCCTGCAGCGCCCCGCCCTGGCCGACATGCACGGCCATATCGTTGCCGGCTTCGGTTCGCACTGCGGTCGCTGGAACTATACCGGCTACCTCCTCTCCGTCAGCAAGACCCCCGGTGTTGGTGTCACCAGCATGTGGGCCACCGAGTACCCTCCTGGCGCCCCCTCGCCCCAGCCCCTGGATCTTGCCCTCGAGAGGGGAGGTAAGGCTGGCATCTGGCAGAGCGGCTTCGGTCTCCCTGTCACCGGTAACAGCCTCTACTTTGTAACTGGGTGCGTGATTTCCTTTCTTTCCTTCTTTTATTCCCTCCCCCCCCACCCCCCCCCTCCCTTTTTTTTCTTCTTTTTTTTTTCTTCCCCTTTTCCTCCACTTCTTCCAACCCCCTCGCTGACACGATCCATCACAGTAACGGCCAGGGCATGCACAACGGCAATGTCCCCGCCAGCGGCCGCTCTCCCATGTCGACCCTCTCCCACTGCACCGTCCGAATGGACTTGTCTCCCGAAGGTAAATGGACCCAAGTCGACTACTTCCAGCCCTACGACTACACCAGTCTCAACGCCGGCGACCGTGACGTCGGCTCATCCGGCTTTGCTCTACTCGACGGCTCCGTCTTCCGGGGTACTGGCGTCAACCGGATGGGCATCATCGCCGGAAAGGAGGGCCGCGCCTACATCCTCAATGCCAACGACCTCGGAGGTTTCCGCCAGGGTTCCGCCGGCTTCGACAACACCATCCAGACCATCGAGCTCGGCGGCGCCGTCTACGGCGGCTTCGGTAGCTATCCCCTCGAAGGCGGTTTCGTCTACGTCACCACCGTCGGCGGTCCGCTTCAGGCCTTCCGCATGGGCCACGACGCCGACGGCAAGCCCGTCTTTTCTCTTGCTGGCCAGTCCGAATGGCGGTCGACTGGCCGTGTTGGCGTCGGCCAGATGACCGTCACTTCCGACAATGGCCGTCCCGGCACTGGAATTGTGAGTGTGGCCTTTATATTACTATTAATTGGTTATCCTTTCCCTCTTTTCTTGTTTTTTTTTGTCGTTTCGTCGTGCTAATCTTGCTATCCAAACCAGGTTTGGGTGACCGATGTGACCGTTGGCCTTGTTGCCTTCCGCGCTGTCCCCGAGAACGGCCGCATGGTGCAGATTCCCCTCCCCTCCGGTCTCCGCGGCAGCAACAAGTACCAGCGTCCCGTCTTCGGCGACGGCCGCGTCTACTACCAGGCCACCTCCAACCGTCTCTACTGTCTCGGCACCCCCGTCGCCCGGGCCGTCACTTGCTCCGACGTCGACTTTGGCACCGTCGACCTCGGCAGCGTCACCACGGCCACCGTCAGCTGCAGGGCTGAAGTCGCCGTCTCCGCCATCAGCAACTGCGCCGTGTCCAGCCCGTCCTTTGTCTGCGACTCGTCAACGCTGCCCGCGGGCGCCCTTACAGCCGGGTCTTCCTTCACCTTCGATGTCACGTGGGATCTCGAAAGCGCTTCGGCTGGTGGTGTTATCCCTGGATTCGTGAGCAGCTCCCTCTCGCTTGACGTCGGCGCCCCGGATGGGTATTCCTCGGTCGCTATCGTGGGCTTGGAGGGCACCGTCGTCACACAGAGCCCTTACTTGCATGCTACGTCGAACACGATCCCTTTCGGAAGCCTTATTCTCCGTAGCGACGCGCTGGACCATCTTGAAGGCTCGGCCGTGCTCGAGAACGTCGGAAACAGCACCCTGACCATCACCGGCGTAGCCTGGCAAGGTGCCGACGGATCGTACCATAACATCAGCGCGTCCGGGGACATCGGCTCCGGTTTTACCTCGACCGAGTTACCCCAGGCCGGAATGACCATAGGGACGGGTGGTCGTGAATCTGTTCACTTGCGGTTTGCGTCCACCGACGTGGGCGACTACTCGACGCTTGTGACCGTTTGGTCCGACGGCGGCTCCCTGACCCTCAACCTCACTGCTGCAGTGAAGAACCCGCCTGTCGTCGTTTTCGAAGCCGCTGACGGCGAGGGCGGTTGGATATCCCTGGAACCCCACTACAGCGTACCGTTTGGCGACGTGGCCTCCGGTTCCTCCGCGGAGACGCAGATCCGGGTCTGCAACACGGGCGGTTCCACGCTCACCGTCACCATTTCCAAGCCGCCCGTTGAACCCCAGCTCATGGCCACAAACCCTAGCCATGACCTTGCCGAGGGTATCCAGATCGAACCGGGGGAGTGCTCCGTCGGTAATGTCGCCGTCCTTGCGAACCCCATTCAGCCCAATCATCCCGTCCAACCTCTCCTGGCCGAATGGAGCCTGACCACAAATGGTCTGAATGCGACATCCGGTGAAGATGCCGAGCTTCGCGACATTATCTTCACCGCCAGGGTCGTGCCCCAGCAGCTCGGTCCCGTCCTGGACGATGGTTCCGCCCGGTTCCAGTACGTCGGCTGCTTCTCCGACACCTCGAGGGGACGGAACCTCCAGACCCAGGTCAACAGCGCCGCGCAGCAGCAGACCAATACCATCCAGCAATGCCACCAGCTCTGCATGGAGCGCGGCTTCGCCATCGCCGGCTTGCAGTACCGCCGTGAGTGTTGGTGCGGCGGGCCTCCGAACTACATCCGCTACCCCGACAGCTACTCGCCGCCCTTTGAGAATCGGTGCACCTTTGCCTGCATGGGCGACGATACGCAGGCTTGTGGTGGCAACGGCGGTTTCATGAGCGTCTATGCTGATACTACGGCTTTTGACATTGAGGGCTTCTTGGACGCTATCAACAACGGCACTACCCCGACTCCCTCACCCCCGCCGCCGCCGCCACCACCCACGACGACGACGACGACGACGACGAGCGCGCCCGTCACGGTGCCCACTACTTCAACCAGCTCTAGCTCCTCCGAGGTCACTACACCCACGACTACCACGAGCACCTCCTCCGCTCCCCTTCCCTCCGGCACCAGCCCCGTTTCGCCGCTCAACCCTCAACAACCGGCGGTGGTGAACGGCGAATGGGAATACGCCGGCTGTTTCGCCGACTTGGTGAACAACGTACGGACCTTGGATGACGCGAGAACGGCCTCGGACGACATGACCGCCTGGCGCTGCGGCGAGTTTTGCAGCAACAACGGCTCGCCTTACAACTACTTCGGTCTCACGTACGGCAGGGAATGCTACTGCGGATGGACCATGGACGAAGACGCGCTCCGAGCGCCCGAGGCCGACTGTCCCGACTCGTGCGTCGGTTCGACCACCGGGCTCTGCGGTGGCTGGCGGAAGCTCTCCGTCTTCCGACATCTCGAGCCCAACGCGCCCCCCGCTGGTCCCGAGCACGTTCCGCAGGTTGGCGACTACCAGTGGATGGGATGTCATACCGAGGCCACCACGGGCCGTGCCCTGGCGGGTAGGTCGTACGCCTCGGATACCATGAGCGTGGATTCTTGCGCCGCGTTCTGCGCGGATGGCGACTTTGCGTACATGGGTGTCGAGTATGGTCGAGAGTGTGAGTACAAATCCCAGCGTCCCCCTCTTTCTACCACATGGCTGACCGGTGTTGATTCTAGGCTACTGCGGCAACACCGTCAATGCTGGGTCTGTCCCAGCACCCACGACAGAGTGTAATATGCTTTGCAGGGGAAATAATGTAAGTTGTCAGCTTCGTGTGCACGCCTTTGCATGTTGGTACAGTCACTTACCCAGGGGTTTTTTTTTTTTTTTAGCTTCAATACTGCGGTGCGGGACGGCGTCTTGATCTCTACGCTCTCGTCCCCTCGGCGCCTCCCCCTTCCAGTGCGGTCGAGGGACCAACCTCGGCTGTCCCGTCCTCGGAGGCGCCAGTCTCGAGCGAGGTTGCGTCGTCTTCTGAGAACGTTTCCAGCGACGAGGTTGCTCCGACATCCAGCCTTGTCGCCAGCTCTGTCTTTTCCTCGGAGGTTAGCAGCGTCACGGAAACCGAGTGGAGTAGTTCGACGCCTGCGAGCAGCGAGCCTACGTCGGTGCAGGAACCGAGCTCCAGCGTGGTGGAATCGAGTTTCAGCATCGTCGAGCCGAGCTCCAGCATCGTTGAGTCGAGCTCTAGCCTGGCTGAATCAAGCTCCAGCATCGAGCCAAGTTCCAGCATCGTCGAGCCGAGCTCCTCTAGCGTCGCTGAGTCGAGCTCCAGCATCGTTGAGCGGAGCTCCAGCATCGAGCCAAGTTCCAGCATCGTTGAGCCGAGCTCCAGCATCGTCGAGCCGAGCTCCAGCATCGTCGAGCCGAGCTCCAGCATCGTCGAGCCAAGCTCCAGCATCGTCGAGCCGAGTTCCTCTAGCGTCGCCGAGTCGAGCTCTAGCCTGGTTGAATCAGGCTCCAGCGTCGTCGAACTGACATCCAGCACCGAGGAGTCCATGAGCAGCGCCCCCACCCTTTCATCGTCGTCATTCATGTCAGTCCCCTCGGTGCCAGCCTCGATTTCCACCTCGGCTTTCGAGTCAAGCACCAGCACCAGCAGCAGCCTATCCACAGGCCCTACAGCCACACCGACCCACGGCTACTACTACGTCGGCTGCTTCCAGGACGTAAGCCGCGGCCACGCGCTCCCGCACATGCTCTCGAACCACAGCGTAACCCCCGAGCTCTGCCTGGAATACGCGCAGCAGCGCGCAGCCAACGCGCCCACGCCGACGGCGGCGCCGGCGTACGTGTTCGTGGAGTACCACCACGAGTGCTACGCGGGCAACACGTTCGACTTCCAGGGCAGCGCGGTGACGTCGCTGGTGGGGACGCGGGCGTGCAAGAATTATTGTTACGGCAGCGTGTCGACGTATGCCACGGACGGCACGATCGCGGTGACGACCAGGACGGAGAATTTCTGTGGCGGACCGAAGATGTTTGATCTGTACGCTACGGAGTTGCCGGTAGATTTCCCGACTACGGGTGGACCGGTAACGACGGTGACGACGGGGACGCCCCGGCCGTGATTGATCGGTGGTGTAGGTAGAGTAGTAAGGTAGAGTAGTAAGAGTATGATGCACCGTATTCAGATAGTGTAGTTCTAGTAAGTATATAATGGATATGAAGATACTGGTCTTATGAGGATGAACCATGTAGAGGAATTACATGTCGAGTTTACCGGAGCTGAACGCAGCGATTGCTTGAATGAGAGGCATGGCTAAAGGAGATCCATCGATAACCTCAACTTTTATAACATGTCGTTGCAACCAGTTGTAAATGAGCTAAGGTGGTTGGGAGTCGTCCGTCGTCGGCTACCTAGTCGGGTTTGCCCCTGAACGCTTCGCTTCCCTGGTGACCAAGTACCTGTCCAATTATTGCCAGATATGTTCCTTGGATGCTCGCCGGGACAAGTCGAAGGTACCTTAGCTTAAGGTAAGGTAAGGTACCTTATGATAGGGCGTGTTGACTTTGAAGGGAAAGGGTAAAAGGCTGAATACCTTAACTGGGACACGATATCAGAAACTTCACGCCCTGGCACCGGAACGTACAGCGCTGTACCTCGTAGGTATAGGGCCCCACGGATGAGCCCACTCAGCAGGCAACAGCGCCCGTTGTGGGCCGACGGGTACGCGACCCGCCTTGCTCGCTTTGTACACTACACGTACTGTAACTCGAGTCCTCCTGTAACTCGGTACTCCGCTCCGAACCGTTGGTACCTGTCCATCCCCGCCTCTTCTTGTTGGAGGTCTCTCTTGTTGGGCCTACCTTACCTACCTTAGGTACCTTAGATAATACATATTGACCGAATTGATTGATTCGATTGGGAAAAGGGGCCGCCACCAGTTAGGCCAGCTTTCTTTGTCCGTTCGAGAACAAGAACAACCCCCAACCCCGAAAAAGATCGACATCTCCCTCCGTCCCCATTTCGCCTCGGGGCGCAACTGTCAACGGTCAACCGTCAACCGTCAACCGTCAAACTGCTGGATTTCAGCGTTTCGCCCTTGGTCCTACCATTCCTCCTTTTTTTCTTCTTCTTTTTCTCTCCTTTTCCTCCAGCTTGCCCACACAGAACGCCCGACTCCACGTCCCGCCTCAGGCCCTCGCAACGATGGCGCGCAGGCAGCACTTCACCCTGATGGTGCTCCTCGCCCTCGCGGCCTTCTACAGCGTCTCCTACCTCTTCTCCTCCGGCACCACAACAGCGACAGTGTACGAGTCGGGGTCAGCACCGGCACCGGCGCCGCCGCCAGTGGCCTTGGCGAAAGACTCGACACCAGCATCGTCTTCGTCGTCCTCTTCTCATGAGGATCATGATCATGATCATGCGTCCACCTCTTCCTCCCCTTACGACGATCATGATGATCACGACCATGGGCATGGTAATGACTCCGGCATCGATTTGGGGCAGATCGATAGCGGTATCCTCAAGGGCGAGTCCATTGCGCCTAAGCTCGAGAATGCGACGGCTAGGTATGTTTCTTCTTTCCTTACATCTTCTCTCTCTGCTGTTCTGCTCGGGGGGGAGGGGACCACACACACCCTCTCGTCAATCGTCTTTCCTCTTCACTACACTACAGAATCAGTAACTAATTTACCTCCCCCCCACCCCCCCCCCAACAGAGCCGAGCTAGGCCGCGCCTCCTGGAAAGTCCTCCACACCATGATGGCCCGCTTCCCCGAGGAACCCACCCCGGACGAGAGCACCGCCCTCAAGACCTACATCCACCTCTTCGCCCGCCTGTACCCGTGCGGCGAGTGCGCCCGCCACTTCCGCGCCCTGCTGGAGAAGTTCCCGCCGCAGGTGAGCGGCCGCAACGCCGCCGCCGGCTGGCTCTGCTTCGTGCACAACCAGGTCAACGAGAGGTTGGAGAAGCCGGCGTTCGATTGTAATAACATTGGCGACTTTTATGACTGCGGTTGTGGCGAGGACAAGAAGGAGGGGGAGGAAGGGGAGGAGGGGGCCGATTCTGAAGAGGTGGAGTTGAGGGAAGAGGATTCATAGGATGGCTTGACGGCGTGGTTGGGGCTGGGAGCCTTTTGCTCGTTGCTGTTTTATACGTTATATGTCGAGGTAACTGAAAAGATGTGCTATATCCGACACCATAACGTGGTTTGTGTTCTCCAGTACGGAGGACGGATCCCGTACGTTCGTAGCCTGGCACGATGTCAAGTTTCAACAATCCCATTCAAGTCTATTCGAACCAAAGAAAAGAAAAGAAAGGAATCATGGACCAGATCAGACACTCCCTTTTGCCTCAATTTGCGTACTCTAACTTTGCCTTTGTTACTCTGTGGATGAGCCCCCGTATCGAAAGTTTCTTGAGAATCACCCGTCGAAATATCACGTGATCCAACGCTCGGACCACCTCTCCAGACAAGGCTAACGCGTCGGAGCTGCCTGAGCTCGCTTCAAGAGATCCAAGCTCCAGCCAGCCTTCTGTCTGAACTGAACTGCGCAGCTTTCCAACGACATACGTCAAACCAACGACCACAGACCCAGTCCTTCCGAGCCCTTTCCCGTACACTTCCCATCCATCAACCCATCCGACGATTGACGACCCGACCCACGACGAAAATGGAGTTCACAACTACCGGAATGCTAAACGAAGGTCCGTTAGAGCTTGAACATTCACAGATTCACGGCGCCCCCGCATGGAGCCGAGCTTCCAGCTTACGACTCTGATTGATGTAGATGGCATCCATGTCGACATGGATAGGCTGAAGAAGGGAGAAGTCAAGTAAGCCGGTTCTCAAACATACTCGTGGTCTTGCGTCTTGTCGTCGCCTGCTCATGCTAACCGTCCTCGCAGTTTGGGTACCTCCATGTATGCTCGTCTCTCTCGTCGTCCTGTCCCAATTCCACAGCCGACCCGAACCCATCTGACCTCACCCTCGCAGCATGGCAGTTACTTTCAAAGACGGCGTCATTCTCGGTACGCACACACACCTTTGCTTTGCGGATACAGTCTCACCCTGAAGCCTTTGAACCGGCAAGATGGACTGGAATGAAAAAAAAGACCTCGGCTGACTTGACTCCCAACAGGCGCTGATTCACGGACGACCACCGGCGCATACATCGCCAACCGAGTAACCGACAAGCTGACCCGGGTCCACGACACAATATGGTGCTGTCGCTCCGGCTCGGCGGCGGACACACAGGCCGTCGCCGACATCGTGCAGTACCAGCTCGGCCTGTACGCCACGCGCAACGGGAAGAACCCCACCACCCAGACGGCGGCGTCTATCTTCCAGGAGATTTGCTACGCGAACAAGGACCGGTTGTCGTAAGTACTTTGCTGCTTTCTTTCTGTCTGCTTATGTGTTCGAATGCTTGGCGGGGGAACTTGGTTGTCTCTCCAGGGGGACGGAGGCAGGAATGATATGCTTTTTTAACGGCAGTCAACGCAAACAACGCACCGGCACCGATGATCGTAATGGGCGCACTTCTGACCACGCTGACAACATCCATCCAGGGCCGGCCTCATCATCGCGGGCTGGGACGAGCGCCACGGCGGCCAGGTATACTCGATCCCGCTGGGCGGGTCTCTCCACAAGCAGGCCTACGCCATCGGCGGGTCGGGCTCGACCTACATCTACGGCTACTGCGACGCGCACTGGAGGGAGGGCATGGAGGAGGCCGAGGCCGTCGACTTTGTCAAGGGCGCGCTGCGGGAGGCCATCAAGTGGGATGGCAGCTCAGGCGGCGTCATCCGCATGGTGGTGCTCACCGAGCAGGGGGCCGATAGGCACCTGTACCTCCCGGATACCGACTACAAAGTGCGCCACTATTAAAAAAATGCGGCCCGAGAAAGGGTGCGCAGGAGGAAGACGAGGAAATGATAGATGGGTTGTTGGGGTGTTAAACGACTGATGTTCATCCATTCTGGGACTCTTTGTCGGGGAGGGTAGGGCAGCGAGTAGACAAGAGAGGTGCGGAGGGAAACTGAAGGGTCTACTGAGGAAACGAAACACCGACGATCCGGCTACTCTATAGGAGCCGGTGTACAATTACCATAGATGCATTCGTGTCACAAATCGTAAGGTATATCGGAGGTGGTTGGCGGTGCCTGTTTTTCATTCTGACTTGGTCGTTCATGCACATGTGAGTTTTTGAATAGGAGACCTGGCTTTCCAGTGAGAATCATAACCGGGGGGGGGGAGGGGGGGGTTGAAAAAAAAGGGTTCGAGCAGTGTCGATCGGATTTAATTTCAAGGCCGCGTCGCCATGTGGTTGTTTCTGCAGGAATGCAGGATTATAAAGGCTTGACAAGCCACGAAGCAGAGGCGGTGAGCAGGAGGATGCATATAAGGCGGGGACTTTCTTCCATTTGTCGCCCTCTTCTTTGATAGTATCTGCATTATTGGGTATATGCGTATTATATAACTTGGATCTTGACAAACAAGTGTACAGTCTTGTCCCGCATCCTTTCCTGTTTTCGTGTCCTCATATGTCTTCGTCAAAGGTACATAAAGTCGAGATTCACCCAAATCTGGTTCCTCAACCGGTTCGTCTACGAGTTGAGATGGATTCCAGACCATAGACGGATCTCCATTCAACGATATAGTAATGTATCATGATGTACCTGACCTGGGTAGGTAGTGTAAGTGTCAAAAGAAGGTATTCGCTTTGCATCATTCCTCTCTAGAATATGAGATCACACATCTATCGAAAAAGGGATGATGAACAAGCGTGATACCATGAGGGGTGTAAGCAAAAGCGGGCTATGACGTGCGGACGTGCGGCAACACGTGCTTTCGCACATTGGATGAGCGTGAACGAAGATCTCTCCATCCCATCACCACGTAGGTACTCGACTCGAGTCGATTCGATTCGATCCCATCCGGCGTCGGAAACCCCCCCCAAAATCCAACTCGTGAGGTTATACTCGGGATATCCATCTCGCAGGATCTCCGACGCGCGCCAGGTCTTCAGGATCACCTAGACAACTAGCGCAATGTATGCGTTGTCATTGTTCAGCCAGAGCCAGGCGGGAACGCGGAATGCGGTGAGGAAAACCGAGGGCACCAAAAGTCGAACAGATAGAGATGCGCGAATGTGCATCTTTAAGAGGGAGGGGGAGCTGGGGTCGCGGATGCCACACAATGATCCCCAGACGTCATGTGCTGCCATTCTGGGTTGAGATTGGTTGGAGGATGAAGAACGGGGAGGGCAGGATGTCAACGGGGCTGCCGGGACGGGAGACCGGGGGTTGGGGACGGGCACGGCCTTGCGGAGGTCCAGGTTCAGGTCCAGGGGACAAGACATGGCGTGGCGTGGCGGTAGGGATTGGATGTGTGGGCATGTTTGGGTGTTAGGGCCAGATAACAGGGAAAGCTTGACACACCGGCTGCATTGGCTGCATGGCTGCATTGCTGCATGGCTCTACGTATGTACGTTGTATTGGCAGATGTGATTTGAACAAACGGCTCGAGGGGTAAAGGGCTGTTATGGTTTTTGATTCGATGATTTTGGGGATTTTCTTTTCCTTTTTCCTTTTATCTTTGATCGAAGTTGATGAAAATTGGTGACGTTTCAGCCCGTACCTTACTGCACCTTACCTTGCGATACCTCATTACACTCTTCCTTCACTTTTCTATCTTCCCATGTTCCATGTTTCTATGCCTTTATTATGGCTGTTGATCTGTTGACGGTTGACTTCTGATAGTAATACCTCTTTATTGTTGGCCAAACTCGATGGGCCCGTCTCGACCCTGAGAGCATGGAAATGACATGGACCGGGGGTGGTGGGTAAAGGGAAAGATCGCATGGGAGGCATGGGTGGAAAAAGCCACAGGGACTAGAATATCTAGCGGATGCCGGGTCGCATGGATATAGGTATCAGCAGCCAGTAAGGAAACACCGTTGAAACATAAACGAGCGATTCCCTGCGAGTGCTCGAATGCTGGTTCCGATTTTTCCCTTCGATATTACTCCGTACATACTCCCGACGATTCGTGGGCTGATATGATAGCTTTACTGATCCCCATCTACTTTGACATGAACGTCGGATGCACCGAGTCTGTACGAAGAAGACCAGATACGGATATTTCCCTGCTCTTCTTGGCCGGTGCGGATAATACAACACTTCATATGTAATAGCTGAATCTTAGCACGAAGTGGTATATCGGGATGTTATGCCGACGATCTGCATCGCATCGTGAGAAAACGCATGCGACGGGTTCTGCGTTGGTGTATTGAGTGAGTATCCGTACGTATCCGTCCTCTGTACTCCACAAGATACTTCGTCCAGACAGTGACGAACCCTGCGGGGCAGGTACCGTTAAGGCGCAACGCCACAGGGTCTGGTCCCTATCGCGAATCTCCATCGCTCCTGCCCACGCTTTGCAGATTCATGTCGTACGAAGTAGGTACAGTACCTACGTTGTATGATGGGCGGCAGGGGACTCCCAACTCCACCTGCCCGGTCTCGACTCCGGGGCGTTACGAGTCCCGTCGACCCATTCGTTGCCATTGCCCCCCCTTTCTCTCCTACCGTTTCCTCTCCCCGACTTTCTCCTCCTCTCCAACGAGAAACCATCCTCTAACCACTTTCCTGTTACACCACCACCACCACCACCACCACCACCACCACCACAACCGCCAACGGGAAGAACCATCTCCATACTATCTTGAGACCTAAAACGTTCAACCGGCAGGCAGGCTGAACAAGAGCAAAGCAAAGAGGGGGGCAGTCGAGAGACCCTGTGCCTGATCCTGAAGTAATTTAACTTCCATCTCTCGAGTTTCCAACACGGGCATAACAAGGTACTAACTCTCTGTAAGTACTACTCGTGCTTCTGGAGTACTACGAATACCTACCACCACCACCACTATCCTGCCACTACTACCATTACTACCACCACGTTAGTCTTGAGCATACTTCCAGGTTGTTGTCGTCATTCCTCCCCCCTCCCCCCTCCCCCCTTTTTTGTTTCTTTTCACCTCGTCCTCCACATAATGCTTTCGCCTCCTTTTTCATCTTAATCCACCATCTTCGTCTAATCCATCTCGATCTCTCGGCCCCTTATCCCTACTTCCTGTATTGATCGACTCCCCGCTGCACGTACGTTGTATTGTATCTGCATCACAACCGCATCGTGTGGTCTTTTCGTTTCTTCTATTTTTATTTTTCCAAGATCGCACCGCATTGCATCTCCCCACGAGCGTAGCCAGTATTCACTGCACTCGAGAAGCCTGAAACTAAACGACCTGCGAGCTTTAGACTTCAACCTGTCGTCATCTCGTTCTGTTCGCGCCGCCCGCACGCGTCTTGCAAGAGGGAATCTTATATTTTGCCACTGCGCTGCAGCCTAGGTCCTCCATCATCCCCGGTCCGCAAATCAAATCATCATCAAAACTTCTTCATCGGTTTGCACACGCTGTCCTCCTGAATCCGGGACGGAGTATATTTTTTTCTTCTTATCTTCGCCTCGCATTCTTCATCCCGCATTGATATCCTCTGCGTTGTTCGGACCAATATTGAGAACGGCACCTTCACCTTGCCGGTCGTCGTCCCCGCCACCTACGGAGGAATTTACACAACAACATAAACTCGTCCGACGACCTACGCCTCCCGGACCGTCCCCGGTCTTCCATTTCTATCCGGTAAGTACGGAGTAATTTCTATTTTTGTTCTCTTCCTCTTCTCTCACCAATTACTTCCAATTATCATCAAAGCTTTGACACTGTCGCCTTCTCTCCGTCTATTATTATTTTCATCACCATATATCCATGCTTCGTCGTCTCGTGTCTAGCTGTCATGTTCGTCTCAGCACAGTTCCATGTCCATTGTTTTCGACCATGTTCTTTTCCTCCGCCATGATGCCTCTTGGAGGTGAAATGGCCTGACGACTCATACCAATGTGATTTCGGACTCTTTGCCCCCCTTCCCTGTCGTCCGGTGCTCGTACCAGGTCAGCCATGATGCCTGCAGGATCTTGTCCCCTCCCCGATTACCGCCCGTGTCAAGTTCGCCACTGCCGACCGCACTGTCGCCGCTTTGACCACCTTAACGCCAACCGAGCCATTGGTGATCGGCCGTAAAGTGGTCAAGCCGGGGCTTCAGAGGATGTTGGGTCAGGCACATCATTTGTGTTACCTCGCAACTCTCTGTCAAACGGTCACAATCCTATCCGGCCACGGATAGCCTCATCATCAGGGACCATTGGGGCAAAAGCATGCAGTCGGGACCGGTCTCTCGTGGCATTTTCCTGTTCATATCAGTTCGATCTTCTCCCCTGTCTATACCTACCTCTCTCGATTCGTTTTCTCTCTTATCTTATCCTCCCCTGTCCTCGTCACTCCCCCCTGTTCCCGCCATATCTCCCCCGCTGCTTTGCTGCCCAGCTTAGGTATCCACCTTTGCATGTTCTGGCACCCAACATTGCCTAGCCGACTCGTGAGATCCATTCCAGCAGACCAGGTCCATCCCTTCAAATCTACCGATTTCTCACCGGCACATTATTCCCGCATCATTCCACCTCTCTTTCCTCATCTTCATCACATCGCACTACTACCATCGTCACCGCCACGCGTTTCGCATATACTCTCGTCTGCTTCTTAGCCGAGGTACCTATTATTCGCTAACCGGAATCATATGCTCGATTAGGCCCGTCGACCATCCGTCCCCATTGCCTACCTATCTCTTCTCTTCTTGACCGATCTACCTCACGACGCTTCTACGCGCCATCGCTTCCTTGCCGCTCTCTTCATCTTTCATACGACGATGCTATGGCGGCCGTAATCGGTGACTTCGCTTCTGATCCGCCCTCGCGCTTCCATACTATGATAGCTGCCGGGGGCCCGTACTCCCACCAACGCCAGCATTCTCATGAAACTCGCTACCGATCGTCGAGCCGGTCTGGGGATGCACCGACACCTACACCTGCACCTGGCCGTCCCTCCTCCAGTCCGAGATGCAGGCGCACCGTCAGCACGCCTTCTTGGTCCCCGTGTCCCCGGCGCGGCGCCTCGCGCTTTCCGACCCCACCTTCTTCCTCGTCCCCCAGCATCGACTCTGACCGGGTCCACCCTGCGAATGCTCAGCATCCCCAGGGAGATGACGAATTGACAGCATCTCGGCCGAGCGACGCTGTTCAACGTGATACCGACGAAGCCGTAGTCGGCCCTTCCGCCTCCTCTTCGGCCTGTGTCCCCGCCTCCGTTCCTGCCCCGACTGCCGCTTGGCCTCGGGCGCAGCAACCGTCTCCGGATTCCGTCACGAACACGAACACCAACACGAACACGAACACGAACACGAACACGGAAACCGCATACCACCTCGCCGACGCCTCCTCGCCGCGCCCCTCATCAGAAGGGCAAACCATCCACATCCGCGACCTGGCCCACATCCAGAACCTTGCGCGAGCTGACATTCTGAGAGAGGACGGGTCCAGCATCCTGGGCGACGGACCGTTACAGCAGGTCAAGTACGAGATCAGCGGTATGCCCATCGGCGACGTCATCGAAATGGTGGCCGCTCTTCTCACCAAGATCACCACAACCAACGACCTGCAGCACGACGCCATGCAGCGCAACGTGGCGCACCAACAGCAGGCCAGCCAGAACAGCGAATCGGCCGACGGGGCGCAGATCAGCCCCCTCAGCGCATCAGTACTCGCCTTCCACGGCAGGAACATTCCCGCGATTACCATTCTCAGCTACCTGACCCGCATCCACAAATACTGCCCGACCACTTTCGAGGTGTTTCTAAGCCTGCTGGTATATTTTGACCGCATGACCGAGAGGGTCAACCACCTGGTCATGCAGGCCGAGGAAAGACGCCAGGCGGCCGCCACCCGTTCCAGCGCGAGACCGACCAGTCAGGCCCAGGCCCAGGCGCAGGCCCAGGCGCTGCCTCCCGCCGACGTAGAAATGCGTGACGAAGAGGGCGATATAACCGATGAGACGGATTCGGACCTGGTCGACGACGACGAGGATATGGAGGAGGAAGCCACGCCCGGATCGCGCACTGAGCGGTCTCGCGAATCTGGAGACCGCGTCGTACCCGGGGCAGATTCGACGCCCACCGGCGTGGTGCCGCCTGCTTATTTTGTCGTCGACAGCTTCAATATTCATAGGTTGATCATTGCCGGCGTCACTTGTGCGAGCAAGTTCTTCTCGGATGTCTTCTACACCAATTCGAGATATGCCAAGGTGAGAGCCCCAGCCAGTCTCTACGACGCAGAAGACATGACCTCTGGCTAACCACTAACAACCTCGATTACAGGTCGGCGGATTGCCCCTTGCCGAGCTCAACCACCTGGAACTTCAGTTCCTCCTCCTGAACGACTTCCGACTCGCCATACCGGTTGAGGATCTCGAGGCCTATGCCACCATGTTGGTGGAGTTTTACGCGCGAGAAGTGGCCAGACCGCAAGCCATGTCCGGCGCTGCCGATAGCTGAGGTCGATTTGCTTCCGTCTCAATTCACGAATACTTGCTCTTATACGATAAGATTGATACCCCTATACACACGCACATGCACACGCATATATTCGAAGAAGCGACGTCCCGCAGGCGGCAAACTCGCAGCCTCCACGCGAGACTCGAACCGTCTAGTACAGGGATACCTGTATGGGACTTCGTTTCTGGGGAAGAGAGGGTTGGGGAGTAGTCGACATGGGCCCAGAGAAAAGGGGAAGGGGTGTAGCATCCGCCTTTTTCTTTTCGTCCTGTGGAGACATGGGGTGGCTTTACTGGGTGGATGGTCCCTCTGTTCCTCTTGTGCATTGGGAAGGGATAGAAGGAAGGTGAACAGACGGCTCATGGCGGCATGGGTTCTTGCGGGATGGCTCGGTTATGGTTTCGATTATGGCTCCAGGCGAGGATCTTACTTAGACTTATGAACAGCGATAGTATGCTTTCTAGCTGGCTTGGCTTGGGTTTCCTGTGGAACGGGCGCTTCGATTTCTTCGATTTCTTCGGCATTAGACCTTTTTACTGTTCTCGGTGATGGCGGAGCGTTTTGGACGGGCACTTCTTGTCCTTGGACGATGTCTTCCAAGTCTCTCCTGAGCGCGTCGCCTGGCTTTTGTGGAAGGTCCGAAGATTTCTTTTTGCGCAGATTGGCAAAAGGAGCGAAAACTAATAGAGTTTTTGGACTTTTGATCATTTGTTTCAATTCTTATTTTACTTTATTTATTCAAATATTTATTCAAATATTTATTCAAATATTTATGTATTTATTTGTGTTTCTTCATGTTAGGGAGGAAAAGAAGAGATAGTTATTCTTCACGTTTCATCCTGGCCTCCACCCGATATATATCCCCCATGAACTCAACTTCATAACTAACCAGGAACCAGGAACCAGGCGCAAAGGCTATTGCTCCCGGCCTCACTATGCCAAATCGGCACAGGGGATGCGAGAGGCTTCGCGATCAAGAAGAGCGATCAAGAAGACGCGGGGAGGTGGCACACAACCTCGATATTGTTGCCGGCCGGGTCGACGACAAAGGCGCCATAATAGTTGGGATGGTACTCGGGACGCAAGCCGGGGCCGCCGTGGTCTGTACCACCGGCAGCAACGGCCGCTTTGTGGAATGCGTCGACGGTGGCGCGGTCTGCGTGCGTGGTGGGGGTCAGCCAGTCGGCCCAGTCCATGGCCATCCTTCGACGGGAGGGGAGGGAACGGAAGGAAGAAATAGGTGATCACGGTGGAACGTACCTTCGGCGGTGAAGGCGATGTGGGCGGGGGTCGAGGACTCGCTGTCCGTGGCGCCGAGCCACCAGTCTGGGACGGTCTTGCCGAGGCCGATGTTGGATTCGGTGGGTTTGGCCATGATCTTGTAGCCGATGGGGGCTAGGGCGGCGACGTACCAGTCCAGGGTCTTCTGGAAGATGGGTTTGGGGACGTAGACGCCTGCGTGGTCGATGGGCATGGTGGAGGTTGGGGGGGTGGGATGGAATGGAATGGATTGGATTGGAGTGGAGTGGAATGGATTTGGGGGTAGTATTTGGATTCGAGTGAGTGAAGGTAGAGAGGGATGAGGCGGGGAGAGAATGGAGAGGAGAAGATGACGAGTAGGGCGAGGGAGATGGGGCCTTTATAGTCGAGGTCGTGGACTCGTGGTGAGGTGGGTGGAGATGGACTGTCCACACGCGCTTTGGACACAGAAGGACGTGAATCTCGGGGTCATCGACTTGTTGCAGGGAGGGGAGGGTCGACGAAGGATTGAACCCGATGCATTCCGGGGCTTTTGGGCAGACCTAAACCAGTGGCTTACTCCTTGTGCGGGGCCGGACGAGGATGTTGTTGTTTTTGTTGTTGTTGGAGGGGATGCGAATTGATATGTCGTGAACGAGTGGTGGGGGTTTAGTATGGGGAGATTCACGATGTCTTTGGGGACTGGGGTCTGTTCTGTCTAAAGTCCCCCGGCGGCAGGCAGCTAGAAGGGGAATAATCATGCCGGGTTCAGTGGGGAAGTTCTTACGGATAAGCCGACCAGCTGCGCCAATTGCAGGGGAATGGATCTAAGCATAGCGTATCACGATGAGGGACTGGGAATACACAACGTGAGTCTCACCGGCGACCGGGGGCTACTCCGTCTTTCCTCCGTACTCCGGACAATCATGGATTCAGCCGGGGGAGGGGACCCACCTTGACTCCTTGAGCGGCAACCCGGTAGAGACGACTGTCATTCTACTCCGACTGTACTTGCGTACTTTAAATGAGGATCCTACCAGTTGTTTCCTTGCCTCCGTCTCTCTCTGACCGAGCCAGTCAGCTCGTATTAGCGTGATGATGATAAGGGGACGGGACCTCACGTGACGAGATAAAAAGCGAAATATTGATGCAATATTTGGTGTAATGGTTAGAGCTGTGCGCTATTAGTGCATGTGATCAATCAACTTCATTCAGCTTTGGGTGGGCTTCTGTGGTGTAAGTGGCAAATGCAGCGAAAGGGGCCAAGGGATTCCTGTCTTGATCCGGCTTTCCCATGCCCATAGACCCTTACGGATATTTGACGGACGATGAAATGACGTCTTTCTCTCTCTCTTTTTTCTTCTTTTTTTCTTTGCTTCTTCTTCCGTCTGTTTGGTAGACCGAAGGGTTAGTCGTCATCTCCACCGAGTAAATTCCGTCCGCATTTCAACCGCCTGCAAAACAAAGGACTTCCATGCCATCGCTCCTGACGATCCCGCCCGAGCTGCGCGATCAAATCCTCAAGGAAGTCCTCTTCCCCCCGGAACGCGAATGCCCGGACTCCCCCACCGCCAGCCAAGACCGCACCAGGCGAGTGTACCGGTCCTGTGGCGGCGGCGACGCCACCGACTACCACGACGGCCACGACGTCTGGGTGCCCAGCACGCCCTTCGCCGCCCCAGCCCCCCACCCCCGCGCCGTCCTGCTCGTCAACCGCCAGCTCTACGACGAAGCGTCCGCCCTCCTGGCCAAAGCCGCCCACCGCGAGACCCAACACCGGCTGGACCTCATGTACGTGAGGGAATGCGGCCTCCCGTCGCCGCATACGGTGAAGAGGCTCGTCTTCGATGTGGCCGTCCCGCCTCGCGGCACGCTGGACGAAAACCTCGGCTTCCCGCGGGGGTCCGCCCAGGCCGTCATGATAGAGGCGTTCTGGAGGGGGGACGTCTCGCCGCACTGGCCGCGCCCGCCGCGGGGCGAGACACACCGCATGGTGGCTGAGAAGATCTTGGGCGTAAGTTGCAATTCTGGACCGGTTTCTGTTTGTCGTGTTGGTAGGTAGGGTGCGGCATGCGTTTTGTTCGTTGGTTTGCTTTGCTTTTGTCTTGCTTGGCTTCTGACTGTCGGCTGGGATTGTGATGGGGAAGCAAGCGGCGCAACATGGCGTTTAGCATCGGCAGCATTGTACTTGAACGGCGCATCGTCTTTTTTTTTCTTTTTCTTTTTCCTTCCCTCTCTTCACCCTCTGAGACCCTGTTGCTGCAACTCCCGACAGAGTCGACCAAGCTCGCGATGACCGGCTTTGCAGCACCCCCCCACGACGATCTGCCTCCACCGTCCTCGAGATCGCGTCTCCCGCACAATCTGAGCCAACTGTGTCTCCCAAGATATGTCCCGTTGACCAGTGCCCTCGGGAAGCTCCCAGGTTTGTGTGCTGGTGTTGTAGACCTCTCCGTTCGTTCCATCCGGATAAAGGATGAGCGCCGGAGGAGCGGCGTCGATCTGCTCAGCTGCAAGAAGCTCCGCAACGGCCCTTTCATAGCTAGAGATGAGGGTCCTGAGCTTGTCCAGTTAATCCCAATGCCCCATGGCCGAGAATTCGCAACGGAGACGTCCAACATGGCCGCAACCGCCTCCTTCACGCTGGACCCGTCGGGGAGGGTAAACTCTTTCCCTTCCTCTTCCCGGGGGAACAAACAGGAGATCCAGAACGGCGTTCCAAACGCGACCGCACGAGTCTCATCCAAGGCCTGCCGGAGGGCAACAATCTCATCGACCCTCGGGACCGTCTCCAGCGCCACGTAGCCGGCCACGGGGGAAGAGAAAACCCCGGCCTCCTGGAAAAGACCCAAGCAGTCAACATGCCACCCCCTGAGTGCGTCCACCGAGTCATGCTGCTCATCATACCGTCCGCTGTACTCTTGGCTAGGCACCATGCAAGCACCGTACGGCCCCAAGCTCAACGCGACCCTCGCTCCGGTAGACCCTGCGGCGTCCTCGGCGATGCGAACCGCGTCCCGGATAAAGGGGATGATATCCCCCCTGCCAATCCCATTGGGGAAGCGGCTCGTGACGGTGTTCGCAAACCCCTGGAGGGAGACTTGGTAGGTCGCCGTGGAAATGATATCCACGGGCACCTCGGCAAAGTCCCTCTGACAGGCGAGGAGGGTGGTCTGGTCGGCGATGAGGAGGTGGGACGACCACAGAGGCGTGTGAGGACCGAATCGCACGCCGTAGTCGTCTGCGAGAGATGTTCCCAGGCCGCCGTCGAGCAGGAGAACAGCGACCGAGTCTGGGCTCGACGACGATGCCGAGGTCACTGTCATTATAAGAAATTCATTCCTCTCGCAGGAGGTTGAAGATGTGCTGCCTGACGAGTGGCAAACAACTTGAGACGTCGAGAGTCTACTAAGGTAGGGAAGAGGTGAAGTTGCTGTGGTGTCGTGGTGTCGTGGTGTCGTGGTGGGGAGAGATGACTAAGAGTGACTCCTTGGGCCCTTCAGCCGATTACGCATCCCTGCCGGTGAGCCACGATAACGTCCTCCGGGGCACGGGACTTGACCTTGACACCTGACCCACCAACGGGGCTTTCTTTAGCGGGCAGGCTACCTTTGGTACTTATGCAGGGTCCCGCCATCATACCAGGTACCCAAGCCACACCATGTGGCACATACGCCAGTACCATTTGCACGTGCTACCTACCTTATCTAACACCCTTATCATCTATCAAAAGCTTATCAGCCCAGCTCTCATTACGCTATCCACTCAACATCGCAGGCTTCCTTCAACCTTCTTCTACCTACTTCTTCACCTTCTACTTCTTCACCTTACCAAGCTATTCTCTACCTCTACCTACGCAAGACTCACTATCAAACACAATTACGAGAGAACCTTGTATCCATGGAGCCAAAATCTGATTATACCCACGATATACGCGCATCCCAGCTTAATATCTACCGTACACAGCCAGAAGATGACTTCACCAACCTCCTAACCGACATCTTTTCCCTCGCCACAAGCTTCACAAAATGCTATTCAGGCACGCGGTCTCCAGAAGCCCTCCGCCAAATCATGTCCCCCGTGCTCGACCACATCAACCGCATCATCACCTGCCCCGACCCAACCATCAAGATCTGGGCCGCCCTCCTCGCCAACCTCGCCAGCCGCCACAGAGCCATGTTCGAACACCTCCCCCTCTTCACCAGCCCACGGGCCCCAGATGATCCCATTTCCCAGACGGCGACAGGTCTGCCGGACTAGAAGTCCCACCCCGTCCTCCCTCTCGGCATGCATCTAGCCCGCCCGCTCTTCCTGCTCCTCAAAACCGCAGTAACCCCCCGCAACCCGAGAATCCATCGCCGCCCCAAGACCGTCCTGACGCTCGACGAGTTCCTCAGCGTCGACAGCTGTCTCTGGGACCTCGCCTTCGACACCATCCGCCGCAACCTCGGGTCCCATGTCGTTGACAATCTCGACCTCTCCCTCGTCCAGGACGCCCTCCGTCTCGGTCTCTTCTTGGACCAGTTCCCCCTCGCCGGCCAGCAACAAATCAAACCCCGCGAGAACGACACGCTCTTTGCTCTTCTCCCGCGGCTCCTGAGCTACCGCCTGCCGCGGCTGCGTGGTCTCCCCACCGATACCAGCCTTAGCAGCAGCAACGGCAGCAGCAACGGCAGCAGCAACGGCAGTAGTAGCGGTAGCAGTAGCGGTAGCGGTAGCGGTAGTGATGACAGCAGCAGCAGCAGCAGTGGCCGCAGCCGCAACAACCGCAACCCGTTCGACCCTGTGCTTGAAAAACGCTTCAAGGCCCAGCTTAAGCGGCGGCGGAGCAAGAGAAAAACAAGCCTTCGCCCTGCTACGACATGATCATGGACATAACTTGATGAACGCCAATCCCCTTGTCTTTTATCCAACGCTAAAACAACATCCATACCATGGGGCAAGAGTCAGACCCATTCGCAGTTTGTTCCGACCAGTTTGTTCCAACTCGGATATCGCTTATCTAAACTGATGAGGAGCGACAGCCTCGTATCGGCAGGTTGGGGATATGGATGCGTCGATGGAGATATTTCGGTTTATTGAACACTTTGTTGTTGCCGTCGTTGGTCAACTTGCCGAAAATAATGCGTCTAAGCTGCGAAATTCGGGAGGAAAACGTATGATGCCTGAACGTCGCGGCATATAGGCCAGATGCAGTCAGCTATAGAGACAGAGAACAGCCGTTGACGACACGGGCGTGGACTGCAGTAGCTTCAAAATGTAACATCAAACCTCTTTCAAGTGCCCTCAAGGCCATGCTCCTCCTGTCTTCTGAAGCCTCCATCCTGGGATCCCAAGCCTTTGCTTCACCGACACAAACCATCACGACATACCTATGATCCCCAAGAAAAGCTGCACATGCACAGATCACGCAGTTGCTACGATTCAAAATCGGCATGTCTTCGGCCAGCATTGGAAATGGGATAATTCCGCCCCTAAAAATGTGCTGAGCTCACACAGGTATCTTTCCGTCTTCTTCTGTCTCTTGTAATCCTGCTTCTTCATCCCAGTGTCCCCCCCTTCTTTGCCTGCCTGGTTCTGCAGCCCGCTACGCCATGCTTATGTGCAGAGAAAAGCGGCACCATAAACCAATAACCCCGCCCCTCCTAGCGCCATGTAACGCCGAACAATGCCCGTTATTTCCGCCGTATCGCGAGCGTCTGCTGCCCCCGATCGTGGTCGTCCTCGGTCAAAAGCCCCCCGTGATGCAAGTCGTAATTATACAAGGAAAATGTCCTTTTTGTCTTTTTTCTTCTCCCCCCGTCTTTTCCCTTTCTCCCGAAGATCGAGGTCCTGCCGAAAAACCGATCGATATGCGAGGTAGTGTCCAAGTCCCACAGGGAGGGAAAGACGCCCCAGGCATAAAAAAGCAAAGCCAGGGTATCATGCCTCTAACGTCGAGGTTATCGATCCGACTCGTGCAGTGTTGTTAACTCGAAAGATGTTAAAAAAGAAGACTCGGTGCGCCGCAATGGTCATTCTCGGGCCTCGCAACGGGTATTCTGCCAGGCTACGGCTGCCAACGCGATCAACACGAGAAAAAAACCCGGCAGCGTTATGACAGACACTGCTGGTGTGAGATCGCTGGTCGGAATAGTGCAACAAGCCATGCATACCCATTCGCAAAACTCGAAACGAATCGACGGCCTCGGCTCGAAAACAACGCTCGCGTTGCTTTTTTTTTTTCTTCGACGTCCCGTGCTGCTGCACCATCGACTGACATCGAGGGTCCTATTTTTTGGCCCTGCTGCTGGTCGTCGCGGTGATTTTGCTGGTGGACATGAGATCGCCGATGTATTTCTGGAGAAACTTATTATTGTTGTCAAGTTTATCATGTTCCTCTCTGACAGCTTCGATGCGATGGAAAATGGTCAAGAGTGATTCTTGCAGCGCTTTGGCGTGCCTGGTATGACGGGTGTGCCCTTGGTCAGCAACGCGAAACGGCGGCTAGTGGGCCCCATGCTGGCCTGCCCCGCCTGCAGCCAAACCGGCCTGAGTGAGATTGTGGCTTGGGAAACAGAAACAGGCGGCAGATAATCCCAAGCAGGCCGACGATGATTGAGAGAGATAAATAAAAACACACCTTTTGAGTTCTTCCCTGGCTTCTCTTCCGAGGGCCTCGATATCCTCGCTAGTACGACGTGGGCTCATGGATCGGACGTCATCGGGGCCGAATGACTGCTCGACGGGACCGACGGCCAAGCTGTCGCGAGGGACGACGAGCGGGCCGCTGCTCTTTCGGCTGGGGAGAGGAGGACGCACTGGTCGCGGGGCATGAATGTGGTGTTCTTCATGGTCGTGGTCGACGGAGGATGATGAGCAGCTCAACGAGCTCTCGATGATGTGGGAAGGATGAAGCATACTCTCACCATTATCGCCCTGATGCCCCACGTCATAGTCTGCATTTGTAACGCCAACCCCTTCCATTATGCTTCCAAGCTTTTCTTCTTCTCGTGTTGTGCCTCCACTATTCGTTTCTTGCTCTTCTTTTTTGTTTTGATTGTTTGCTGACCAAACGGGCGGATAATGTCTGGCGAGATTGCTGTGCGGCAAAAGGCGGACAGAGAAATTTTCGAATCTTCTGGAATAGGACGCGATTTGGGCTATTCTGAACCGTTTACTCGATGCTCGTTTTTTCCCCTTGCAATATGGGTTTATCGGCAAAACTGTTCCGGACAAGGTTCTTCGCGAGTCTAGTAACGCTTTGCAACAAGCCGAAAGATGCTGCGAAAGATGAAAAAAAAAAAAAAGGACGTGGTTGTAAATTTTTGGCTGGCTTCGCGTTAGGAGAGACCAGGAGACGAGATGGACAGAGGAGGGACGCGGTTCCAGATGCCCCTTGTCGTTGAACAAGATGGAGATAGAAAGTTGGGATCCAGAACTTCCACCGTCACCTCTTGGTGGCTCAAAAAAAAGGTGTTGCCAGAGCACATTCACGTACAGGTAGTGCTCGGTAAGAGCTGTGGCGAGAAAAGGTTAAAAAGAAAGAGGTGATGTCAGGGTCCAGGAGAAGGAGGAAGGGCGGCGGAAAAAAAAAAGGAGAGGGAGAGGGAGGATGCGAAAGTAACGGGAAAGAAGAAAAATTAAGGCTATGTGAAGGGGAAGGCCAAGGGTACTTCGTTAAACCAGACAAGGGAGGCTACGGTGGAGGCAAGTGGGTAGCGGAAGGCGGCGGGATTGCATATGTATAAGTTAAAAGGGGGGGGTGGAAGGGTGGAAGGGAAGGGGGGAAAGAGTTGTGAGCACAGAATAAAGTGGGTGGAAATTGTGGAACACCTGAGGGACACTGGCACCAAGTAGCGTATGAAGTACATATAAAGTAAGTACCCACCTACCTTATGGAAAGTAAGTACAGCGTAAGGTATCCAAGGAAGGGGAGAAACAGTGAAAACGTTCTTACTCCTGGGTTAGCAAGCATCCCCTGGACACACAGGTGAGCCGCTAAGGACTTAAGGGTCCAAAACGTTCACCCAATAGAAAAGTGTGCCTTTCAAGGGGGCACATTTTATGATACTAGTTTAGTCCTCTATATCTAGGTACAACGCGGGCGCGATGCTATGGGTAGAAACCTACCTTATTACTTCGTAGAATATCAAATCAGTGGGTTTTCAGTCATACTTCATACTTGCGAATAGAAAAAAGGGGAAAGGCAGAGACAAATGAACCACTGAGAGAGAGTAATGAGCAATGAGCAAGCCGCGGGACCGGCATAAGCAGGTATATGGAGTCATGCGCACAGGGTCACCAGACGCTTGTCCGAAATGGGTAGTCTGTGAATACAGGGATGGGGCAGGAAATCACACGGCCGCTCTTGGTGGGGTTGGTTTCCCTACCAATGTCCGAATCTGATTTATTACTATGTCCTTCGTAATAAAGTACGTACGTGTACGTTATACAACGTATGGAGAAGAAAGATGCAGAATCTCTTGGTATCAAGACACCTATTCTTCGTTCTCCATCATGAAGTATATTTTCCGGACAATTCTCCCCGCGGTCTCTGCCTTATTATAGGAAGATCAATATCTTTAAGGCCGCAGGATCCCAAGGCTTGGGTACTTGGGTAGGTATTTTAGCGTCACGACTCCAGCAGAGCAGTGGGGAAGGTCCTCCGCTCTTGATTTTTCCAGATGCGGAAGTTACCAAACATGACTGTAGGATGCAGGATACTGTCACGGTGGCCTGTAATAATGAAACCCGGTTTGTCGGGGAGAGGAAGTTGCCAGGGAAGGCAATACTAATAATCGCCAACCGCCTCTACGTCTGCCTCTACCGCTACTCCGTGCCATCTCAAAGGAGAGGGAGCCATTTCTGGCAGATTAAGTAGCGACTAGTGAAAATGGCAAAGCGGGATAGTCCCAAAGCGTGATGCCAATTGGGAATATTGCATTCGGAGCGCATAGCGCAACCAAGTTCAACAGACTTACCGCCACTACTCTATAACCGCCAGCCAAAGAAGAAGAAAAAAAGGAGAAAAGGGAAAACACTCATGATAAAACTTCGAAATACCATCACAACACTTCGAAGACTGAAGACGGTTCGACTGGCCGAGAGAATCCCGGACAATGGTCGTGATCAGCGGATCGCCGACGTATGACGAGCCTCCTTCGGCCAACCTGCGACGATGGAAAAGGTGAAAAGGAGATGACGGGGTTGTCGCGGGCTGGGGGTTTGGCGACACTCTTATTCCCAACATCCTGCCAAGGGGGGGGGCTCGTCGAGGACGGCACGTTCAATTTTTTTCCCCTGTCCCTGTTTTAAGAATGCAAGGAAGAATAAAAGAATTTAAGAGAGGAAAGAAGGGGGGAAATAGTTCAAAAACAGTCCAAATTAAGGATGAACCATAAAAGGTAAACCACGGACATAAAAACAAGATAAAATATGGGGTAATTGCTTGCACTCCGTAGGTACACGTGTAGATAGGCATGTCGCCTACGATAGCTCAGGTGAGGTGGAGTAACTAACGTACAGAATGTCGGGAAGAGTAATGAAGAGTAATTATTAGCTACAACGTAGTATATAAGCGATGAGCGATCAATAACGCAGAAGAAATGTAGGTATACGGTCGCCCAGCGCTGCCCTACAAATGCTTTGGTACCTTTGGTAATTACAGCTCGACGTCCCCTTCCCCGCCTTGGAGCGATAGCATCGCGACTCATGTTTCTTCCTCGTTGGGGGAAGAAGACGGAGGGGGGCTCCACGATGCTGGAATCTGGACGGAACTCGGAGGGTTCTCAAATTGCGGGAACGACTGTACAAGGTAGGTATGGCGCGAACAGGCAACGGGGAGTCGGAGACATGAACCTGCCACGGCGCGTGGACGCGTGGCGGCGGTCTTATGGGGAAGAAGCCAGGAAGAAAAAGCCGGTTGTTCACTGAGAAGCGCCGTCGCTCTTGGTGTCGGCACGTACCGAAGTCGGCCCTGAGAAGAGATACGGAGAGGTAATGATTCGTAGTTGGGCGTTGTGTTGCTTGTGTTGTGCTTAGATAGGCTTTCTTATCTCAGGCCGTCTCCTTGCTGGCCCTGATTGCGCGATTCCTTCCCGTCCCTGCTGTCTAAGCTTATCTTTTACGTACGGAGTAGCACTCGTGCCACAGTCTCGGTGTCGTGGAAGGCATTTTACGGAGGAGCAGGAGAGGACTGGAGGGGCCACGGAGTCGGATGTGAGAGTACATGAGATGTCCCGCAGGCCACGTTAAGCGACCGGTGAGATGAGAGTGTGTGGGGGAGGTGGGGTACAACGTACAACGTACAGAAACGGCGTACAGCATGTACGTACGGATATATATGTAGGGGGGATATGTTTGTAGTACGAAGTGTGTTGAGGATGGTGAACTCCTTTGATAGGGGGGTTTGTTCATGACTGGGCCAGCGACAATCGTATATGGATACCTCTTTCTGCCGCAGAGTACGCTACTACTGAATACGGCATGTTTCTTTCGGCCATAGAAGCCGTTTGGAAGCTTCTGATGGACGCACTGATGAGCGGCCAGAAGAGACAGTACCGGAGCTGAACGATAGACGAAATAATAATAATACCTATATACGGAGAACCGTACATATGTACAACGTATGCGTATGCGTATGCGTACCTTATGGTAGGGCGAGTGTCTTGAGAATACCTAGGGAGGTGGACCATGTGGGAATCTAGATGATACCAAATTAGGTAATATGTGCGAAAGGCTTCATCAGCCTGTCTCGAAAAGCCTCCGAATATGCCCCGGGTACAGCCCCGGGTACAAAGCACTCGGGTTACAAGGTGAAAAGGAACATCCTTACCTTTATACTACAGTGTACTCTATCTTGTAATTACGATCATCTAATTACTTACAACACCTATGTATTCATTCGTACAACGTACGTATGTACGAGTACGAGCACAAAGTAAGGTAGGAGGAGTATATCACTTCCCCACACAGAATCCACAGAATCCCCGCTTGGGCGCCAGCAGAGGGAACCCATAAATTCAGACGATACGGGTACCCGAACATAGCGGGCGACAGCTGAAGGGGGCAAAGCCAAGGTGGAGGGACAAAGGTGGGGAATGGGTTGTTATGTGGAGAATGGCCAAGATCGACGCAATCTTGGGGGTGGGAAGAGCACCCAGTGACGACAATGGCTGAAAAGGTTCATTGGGCGAGGCAGGATTGGTGGGACCGGTGCTACGGGTCTTGGCAGGCGTGGCGGACAGGGGGACCTCGAGTTTATTTGGCTTGATTCGGCTTGATTCGTGCTTCTTGGTGCTGCCTATGGGGGATTGGTATTAGGGGATTAGGCAAGGCGCCTGCTACCCGATACATGTTAGGTACGCTCTTAGGTACCTTTGTTCGTACCTGTATATGTACCAAGTTCCCCTCGTAAACAAATAATAAGGACGGCAGCTCTTTGCCGGGTTGGCAGGCTGATCCGAACGTCGTGATGTAACGCCCAGCCTTTTGGACAGCCTTGGACCGTGGGTCTCTTTTTTACCTGGCAGTACGGAGTGCATATTCAATAATATCCGTAGGCTTTGGTTTCTTACTTTTTTTCTTCTTATAACGTACTTCTACGGAGTACGGAGTAAAGGACTTTTAACTCTTTTCGTCCGGGATCTTTTGACCCTTTCGGTGTTGACATGTTGGCTCCTTTTCCTTGTTTCCTGGCCTCATACTCTCGTGCAAGTCGCATAAACAATCAGGTGGATATAAGTCTATGCTCGAAAGCCGTCAACCGTTATTTTTCCTTATCCCACCAAGTCTTCGTCTCATCGGCACAACACATACACACTTGCTTTCACAGCGAGAATATGGGAGATAGATGGAGAAGGTGAGAGAAATAGAGAATAAGTGAGAGGAAGATGAGCAAAACCCAGTCTAAGAAAGGTACCCATAGAGGGGCGCTACCTTAATAAGCGCAAACTACCTAGGTACTCAGGAGGTACCAACAAGGTACCTTGGTACGCAGACGTCTTGCCGTCAGACCGCTTGTTTGTCTCTGCGACTGCCTGCGACTGCCTGCGACTGCAAAGTACGAAATATGTACGGGTACGGAGTACCTGGGTAATCATCGATGATCTCGTGGACACGGGACACGGAAGAGATGGAGAGATGGAGAGGACGTGCTCGGCGTGCTTTTTCCCCATCAAACAAGACGGAATTGACGATCCTTCTTCGTCCTTGGCATTGTGAAGTTGAGGAGGACCCTGCCGGTGGAGGAGGTGCTCCGTACACTTACAGGTATGCCTGTCACACTACACAGTACGGAGAATGGATCAGATATCTTTCCTCGATGCCTCTCTCCAATAAACTCGCTCACCCTTATTATAAGGTCATTATACCTTGAGGTAGTATTCTCTCCTTATCTTTCACTCAAGTACCTATCTGGTTCTCTAACGTACGTAATCTAATACAATCTAGCGTGTACTGTATGAAAGAAAGTACAGAGTAGAGTCTCTCCGCGGATATCTTCTATACTGTCGCGGGCCGAGGCAAACCATATGCGGCTTCGGATAGGAGTCGACAATGTAAACAAGAAAAGAAAAAAAAGGACCCTTCGCACAGGCTCAAAGATCGCCACGACTTTCAAACAGGACGTCATCATCAGTACCAACAATAGGCAAACGTTCATTTTATTTTCCTCCCATTACTAAGATCTACTTGCTGACTGCAGGCTCCTTCAGCATGTCACCTCCCTGGTTCATTCTCATTTCTTGCTTTCTTGCTTTGTTCGTAACATGGGTAACCGGACATTCAGACCATTATGATTATAATCACCGAGTCTCAGAGTCCCTTTAAATCCCGAGTCATCATTATGATGTTGTGGAATGTTAAAAACGTCATACATAACATGGATCATTGTCGGTCGTTGGACCACAACCCGTGGATATTGGGGACGATGTCCTGACAAACGGCGTTGCTTCTTTGTCTGTTTGTCCTTTTCTTTTCCTTTTTCTTCCCCTTTTTGTCCGGTTTGAACTGGAATATTCTCCCTCTGGTTGAATCGACCTGGTTCTTGGCTCGGCTTCCTTCGAGGAAAAAAAGAAAGAAGAAAAAAAAGTGGAAAAAAAAGTTGAATTCATTCACCTCCTTGGCCGCAGGCACAGGGATACCGAAAACGGGCCACATGATAATATGCCGTGGCGATCTTGTATCTCGGCCGACTTGACAGCTTTTTACTCGTTCATTAGGGAGTACGGAGTCATTCCACCCCCGTTCTTCCACTTTGATGGTTCCGCTTTCGATCATTATATGCATACATCCTGCTGAAATCCGAGATTTGGGTAATGATACGAGGATCGTCGTCGAGGAACGTGATTCCTAGATCACATCACGTCTTTGCCTGCTGAGTGTTCAGGAATGAACCCCGTCAAACTTGCAGACCGATCGCCAGGGGCAAGCTTGCGCAGCCTTGTCGTGCGAAGGACGTGCTGCTCCATGTCGGACCAGTGAACCGGAGAGGGGGCAGTTTCTAGTTTCTCTGAGAAGCAAAGACGGAAGACTGAACGGCGTCTTGGCGGTTCATCAAGGTCTCGAGACGCATCGACTCGTGGAGCGTGTGATGCCATTTTTTGGGTTGTTTTATTTTTATTGTTATTGTTATTGTTATTTTTATTTCTTTTAGTCACGCAGCGTCTACACTTACAGAGACGGGTCAAACCGTGCATCCCCATGTTCCGTAATCAGAGTTTCCCGTCCTCCCAAGCAATCCTATAAATCCAAGAGTCCCGTGATACCTTTGGATCCTGCATAGCTTTTCGCGGTGTCGGGTGTCAGTCAGGGTGATCGGGGGGGGGGGGCCGCGTCCCACTCTTTGCTTCTTCACCGACGGGAACCGCGCAACTTAGTGTACAACTTGCTGCAACTCGGCCCCGGTCTTCCACGTCCTTGGCTTCTGCAGTCTTTTGTGACACCGAGGAAGGAGAGGGGGGGGGGGGGAAGAAAAAAGAAAAAGAGAAAAGACAAAAGGCGGGGAAGATAAAGAAGCTCAACTCGAGCATCAGGAAGATGAGGTTTTCTTCCCTTTTGCTTGCACGGGACTTACAAAGAGTCTCTCCGTGGGGGTTATTTTCTTTTCTCCGAACAAAGGATGGAGGGGCTTCAGCTTGGCCAACACCAACACCGCCTTTCTTTGCTGCCTCTGCGTCCCTGATTTGAGACCCCCACACCGCATTACCCCGAAGCTAGTGTCGTTATACTTTCGTAGGTGCTGAAATAAGACAGGAAAAAAAAAGAGAAAAAAGGAGACGGCAGGGGCATGCCAGCCTCATGCCTTATGGAATGACTGGTACGAAACTCTGGCTTCGGAGATACCGTAGTCAACGAAGCAAAGATCCATACCTATTTGTATTCATCCCACTCTCACTCGCGCCCCTACTTCCACTCTCTATCTATCACTCTCACTCCGCAAAGCGCCGGGTTTTCTAGCTGTGGTGCCACGTGGACAGCAACTATGGAGCCCCGACGACTACCTGGCTCCCTCAAGGGTCTCTCCATGTCTCCATGACCATCCGTCCGTTTCATGCGCCCGGCCGACAAGACGGGACGGACGGGACGGACGGGACGGACGGTTCAAGAGAGGTGGAGAGGCGAGGAAAAGGAAAAGGAAGAAGAATGAAGGGGTGGTGGCGAGCGAGAAAGGGAGAAAGAAGGATGACATGCGAAATATATGGCCTGAGGGAGCGCTTTCTGTTCGTGTTCTTCACACGCCGTGCAAGGGGAAGTAAATGAGTTGGGTGGGACAAGGCAGCCCTCGCGACACACCTCACTCGGGTCATTCCACCATCGGATGCTGTGCTGTGCTGTGCTGTGCTCGGCTGTGTTGCCGAGTTCAGCTTGCCTGCCCGCTTCTTGGCAATAAAATGTCGCCGAATCATCCGGATACAGCGAACCAAACGGGCAGCCCTCGAAAAGCGTTTCTCCCCCGGGCGTGATCAGTGCCAGATGCACTGGGCAAGTTCGCCCTCTATAGGAACTTGAATCCTACAAAATCTCGTCCAGCTGCGTTGCGATCGCCACGGATTCCGAGAAGCCATGACTGTCACGACAAAGTCCGTAATCTTTCCCGCAGGCCGTAGAGCACATGCAGTCTCGTGAAAGACGACAGTAATACTCATGATTTTGTAGGGGCTGATCGAAATAGCCACAGTATTTACCAAATGCTCGTGTCATGAATTCCGATCTGATGTGCTCAATCGACGCAAAGATCGAGAGCTGCTGTCTTGCCCCCCATATGTATTCTTTTACCTCTCATACTCGGACAAGAAAATGCCGACCAGAAAAATGTTGATGTTCTTCCCTTCCCCTTCCCCTTCCCCTTCCCCTTCCCCTTTTCCCTACTCCTAGGTTATTCGCCTAACTAAGGACAGCCTGTATTGGACAACGCCCCCAAATCATAGCCAGGTAATGCTTTTTGTTATGTATCAGGCATCCCAAAGGATGTCGATGTTGAATCGACGCATCCATCCCGCCCAGACTAACTGCATATCGAAAAAGCGAAAAACCCCGACATCACCTTAGACCTAATGAACCGTCCTGCTAAGCCATGTCATCCGGCGCAGCGATACGCGCATAAGCCCCCAGCCCAACATGCCGCTTAACAGCCTTCCACGTCTCAAACAGAGCAACGTACACCACCACGCAGGCGGCCACGATGCCCCATTCCCACGTGATCCCCGTGTGCTTGAAGACGGCATGGTTGACGACGGGGATATAAATGACAGGGAACGTCATGACGAACCCGCCCACGACGGCCCAGAAGAGGAACCGGTTCTTCCACACGGTCGGGAAGACGGATAAGGGGCCCTTGTAGGTCTCGGGCTCCATGTCGAACAAGCTGCGCTGGAAGTGCTTCACCTCCCACGAGGTAACGAGCAGGAGGAAGCTCAGCGTCGCGAACGTCGTGGACCGCGCCCGGAACGCCACCTCGCAGGTGCTATTATACCCTTCGTTGCACTCGTGGCCGAGGTCGCCGCCGTAGGGCCCGTAGACGACCGACGAGAAGGCCGCGAGGCAGAGGGAGCCCATGAAGAAGCCGTACACCATCTTGTCGCGGACGAGGTCGAGGGTGAAGACGCCCACGCGGAGGTCGTGGGGCGGGCGGCGCAGGATGTCCGGTTGGGCTTCTTCCAGGCCGAGGCCGATGGCCAGGAACGAGGACGTGATGAGGTTGGCCCAGAGGATCTCGAGGGGGGACAGCGGGAACACGGAGGTGCCGGACGCGTCCTGGAACGAGAGGCCGATCAAGAGGAGGAAGACCTGGGCGATGTTGGAGATGAGGAGATGCAGGAGGAACTAATAATGTGAGTGTTAGTTGTTGTTGTAGTTGTTGTAGTTGTTGTTGTTGTTGTTGCGTATAGAACCGAGGGAAAGGGGGGG